TTCTTGTTTGTAGATGAGTATCTAGCTAATGAATATAAATCTCGAGGAACAGAAAAACTCAAAGCAAGCAAGCGATAAACGAACGAAAAAAATATTCCATTTCATATCCAAAAGTCCCCATATGGTGTCGTGTCACCACTCCCTCGTCATGCTCTTGCATTCAAAAGACGAAGCTAACTCAGTATAGCATATACATGTCCTTTGAGAACTGTGGACCAAAATCCAAGAATCTTATCTAGTATTTAACAACATATCAATATCGACGACAATTCGTTATACCATCTCACGAGAATCAAACATCCAGTGATACCAGAAGCGATACATTATAATGATTATCCACCAAATCAATCGTCTTCTATGAAACAATAAGATCTTGGTAACCATATATTCCGCTTCCACAATCCATACACATCAACCACTCAACTCAACTACCACCCAATTGCAAGTTCCAACATCAGATCAAACCAAATCAAATCAAATCAAATCATCAATCAAGACCTCCCCTTCTTCTCTCTCATACTCCGCAAATAGCAAATTACCAGAGCAGGAAAAATCACCTACCTACCTACCTACCTACCTACCAACCATACTAGGTACTCAATAGATATCCACAATCCATTATATCTACGAGTAATAAACCTCCTCTCCCAATCATTTATTTATTCATTCATTCACATTCACAGATCCACAAACAGACAAAAAACTATACATCTCCTAATATCTATCTAGGTACCTATCTCTATCCATCTATTCTATTAATTCAAACCCCATACCCCAACCCAATACTCTTCACACAGCAAATAAAGCAAACAACCAATTAACAATAACAGAGATTCATTTACAAATATATTCATATTTATATTCATTTTCATTTTTTAGTATATATCTAATATCTAATATCTAATATCTAATATCTAATATCTAATATCTAATATCTAATATCTAATATCTAATATCTAATATCTACCCACAATCTCTACAAAAACTAACATCACAATCACAATCCACAATCCAAAATCATAATTATAATTAATCCCTAAACAAATCCCATTCGTACCCAAACAACCAATCCCTCAAGTACATAATCAGCATCCAAATATCCAAAGACACAAATTTACTCCGGTTAGCTAATAAACAGACAGACCGATAGGCTTTGTTTGAAAACACCACTACACAGAGAATCGTGCATTTGTTTCATTCGATTTCGCCGAGAAAGCCAAGCGGGCCAAGATTTTTAGCTGGAAGCTTGTTTCTTCTTCATGTATGTATGTATTTTTAAAGTATTTTGGGTTATGATATCTAGATATTTAGATCTTTAGATAGATATGGTAGTCTAACTAATCCAATCTTCCCAGATTGATTGCCTTTATATCACCAGAGATAACATAACGTTTCATTCCAATTCCTCCCAACGTATCCTCTTCCCATTTCCGCATTTCCTCCGCCCCAACTTTCCGCTCTTCAACAAAACATCACAACACATATCTAAACCTAGGACCATCATTTTCATCTCCTGCATCCGCAACCACAGGCAGTTTCTCGCCCAACTTATCCTCAGCCACTGTCTCACCCACCACATTACCCTTCGCATCCCTCCTACCCACCACCCCATACTTTTCATCCAATCTCTTATTCTCCCAATTCAACAACATTCTCAACGCCAGCGCCAAGATACCATTGAAAATCATAAATGCAGTGCAAACCCACATTCCCTTGCGGTAATATGGACCATCCTCCGAGGGATACATTCGCGTTCCAAGAAGCGGACCACATTGACCCACCATATTAAGGAGTGCGATTCCTGTGCCACGTTTCGTATCCGAGCCTTGATTATTCAGGACCCAAGGGAGAATGTTAGCGATAGCGGGGAAGATTCCTGCGGCAGCGAAGAAAACACCCGTGTAGCGGGGTCCGGTTGTGGAAGTGGTGGCCTAGGGATGTTAGTTGAGATTCTATTTGTCATCATGTTTGGGATGTAATATTTACCAGTAAGATGTATCCGATGGCGCCAATAACCGAGAGGAACATAATAACCAAGCCACGTTGTTGAGTACGATCGGCAATGTAGGTTGAGATGATGACGACGAGGAACGCGAGGAAATATGGGGGAGCGGATAAACCCTGGGCGTTGATGGATGAAAACCCCATCTCGTTAAGAATAGTGGGGAGGAATACGGGGAGGGAGCTAAAGGATACATTGCATGAGAAATACATCAAGGCTGTGAGCCAATTCTAGTGATGACATTATTAGAGTTTGACGCCTCAGACATACACGTAAGATGAAACGTACCTTTGGATCCGCAAGAGCTGCAGCAATATCAGACCATTTGATACCTCCAACACGATGTTCTTCCTCTGCGCCTACTTGTCTTACGCCTCGTGCTTTGGCGACGGCTCTTTCTTCCTCGTTTAAGAAGCGTGCTTTCTCTGGGCTATCGGGGAGGACAAAGAATGTCAAGATCCCTGCTGCTACACATGGTAAACCTTCAACCAAAAATAGAAGACGCCAATTTGCAATCGCAGCATGTCCACTAGTGATTCCATATGCCAATGCGCCTGCGAAGCATGTTGCCAAGGGTGCAGCGCTGAGGAAAACTCCAATTCGTATACCGATTTCGTGGCGCAGGTAGAAGAACGAAAGAAGATATGGGATACCAGGACCATAACCGGCTTCGAAGAATCCGAGGAAAAATCTAGCGGCCATCATGCCAGACCATGATTGGGTGGCGGATTGAAGAGTGGCCACGGTACCTGCGATGTTCGTGGTTAGTAATTGTGATTTCTAGAAGACCCTTGAAATGTAATGAACACCCCTAAGTCTATTTCAAGTCAAGATCGTTCAAATTATAAAATACCTCAAGGATGATAAAATTGAACGATGAAATAGTGAAACTTACCCCATCCAACTACGCAAAAACAAGCCCATACATGTGGGGGAAGAACCTTCCACATCAAAGCAAACCATTCGAATACAATATATGCGATGTAGAAAATTGTCAATAACCATTCATATTCGCTACTTGATATTCCGAGGTCTCTTGTCATGCCGGCAGTTTTAGCATTTCTGATTGAATGTTAGAAATATAACACCTTTCTTCATCACAAGTACATACCCAATATTTGATCGATCAAGATATGATAGAAGATCTATGCAAGTCAGTAAAAGTTGAAAACCTCTGTAAATTAACTCTAAAGATGTCACTTACACAATAACAACACCAATGGAATAAGGTGCTTGTCCAACTTTCGCACAAGTCTCTTCTCTATCACAGGATCTATATGATAACCATTTTGAGCCGAAGGTGGTTCTCGCGCAGCTTCCAGTTGAGCAGTTTCTGGTTTTTCGAAAGTATCCATCTTGATGTGTTGTGGTACTAAAAGAAGCTGAGTTTCCTGGGATGAAAAATAGACGTCTTTTTTTGGAGGGATTATTAGTTGTGTCTCCTGTTGTGCTATTGCTCTTTTCGACTCCACTGCATCAATCAACAGACAGCGATTGGCTCAGCGCGGCACAAATTCACTTGCAATTCAAAGTGTCACAAGGTACAAACACATTGTGAAATGGAAAGGAAAAAAAGGCGAAAACATCCTCATTTTATTTCCTGGGTGCGGAAAAAGAAACCCCATCTTTACAACGTCACATCCATACCCACGAGGAGGGAAAAGGGTAGGTAGTATCTACGAGGTACCCAGTCATTTCCATGTTGAGCTATCAACATGGGGATCCTGATAGGGTCGATATGTATTCGTGTGGATATGTGTCCGTGGAGACCCCGCGATTTTGATTTTTTTTTGCGACGGCAATGTCCGTTCCTGTTAGAAGACGAGGCCTCATCCGGTAGTTGGATGATTTTCCGTCCTCTTCATTCGATGGTGGAGGATTGAGTTTCTACGAATGACCAAGCTTCTGGACAGCTATGCACGCTTTTAATCTATCTGATGAGAAGTCTTCAATCTACCCCGCAGATCTTTAATATCAAAATGTTGGACTTTATCGTGATGGACCAATGAATCAGATGACGTATCAAAAACAATAACCGTTACCATTGGAAAAATGTCAAGATTATGTGGCTGGGACATGGCAATACGAGGAAGTCTGCTGTGTTTGATAGGGACCTAGTATGTATAGAGATTTGTTCATCATCCAATGATCCGATTACCTAGTATGTAATGTTGATGGCATATCAATATTTGTACCACTGAGTACATCGGATCACTCTTGTGTGTGTGTGTGTGTTGCATCGCATGTATGCTGATTGGCTCGTTGGTTGTATGTTGGTTGATGATCTCTATCATCGGAAGAGTATTTCCGCTTTGCATCGGCTCCGCATTACCAGATAGACCATGGAAGAGTACAGATAAAGCAACAGCCGACAGAAACACATTACGAAGTATTCCTCGAAGCTTTCTTTCTTCTTCGGCGTCAACTGCTGTCTGTTCAATTTCCGATTTCCTTTTGTTATCCAGAAAGCTACACTTTATCTCGTGCCAAATGAGGAGCGATTCCGTGGTGGAATTACGGAAGGTATCGCGAAGATTAGTCATAGCAGCGTAATCAGAAGAATTTTCAAGTGCAGACGGACGGAGTATATTACAATAACCCGAAGCGGGATTACTCTGTATAGATTATAGATTGTTAGTAGAACGAAAGGAAATTCTACGTGGAGTCTTTCGGAGTTCCAATGACGGATATTAGAGTTCATGAGGAAAACGCAACGGATCGATCTATGAACCGCTTGATTATTGTTCACTTGGCATATTAAAGTTCCAAATTGACGGAGGGGTTATGAAGAGGTTGGAGATACCAGGTAGGTATATACTGGAATTCTTCATTGTAATCATTCCATATTTCCAGACGTATCACAAAGTCTTCTCCTCTTGGCGGCCAGTGAGTTGAAATAAGTGAAGATATACTAGGTATATTTACAATCGCAAAACCAACAGCATACTCTGTACCCTAGGATTGAGGCATCAACGCAAGAAGGTAAGGTTAAGCCCACCTAAAAATCACCACCATCACCATCACCATCACCATCACCATCACCATCACCATCACCATCACCATCACCATTCCACCCAAACCAAATAAGTAAGCAAAGCGCCGACACGCGTCCATCGTACAAATCACGGCACCAATTCTCGGGACCGGCTCCGCAATCTAAAAATGTGCTCAATGTAACGTTATCGACCCGATTGATCCGTGATTTGTTCTATGCTATATATACTCTATGCTCTAAGGAGATTTATTACCTACCTAGCTAGTACCTCGACCTTACCTAGTTTCCCTTACCGTGCTGACATACATTGTACATGCTCCTCTCAAGTTCCATGGGATGGGATCATGATTCCTCGGGACTAAATGACGTGCTAAAATTCAGGAACCAACAACGGCAGCGGCACAGTTAAATAGGTTAACGAAAGTACTACAGTAGGTAGGTACGACGTAGTGGATCCGAGGTAACGAAATGAATGAAACAAAAAATTTATTTTTCACGCTGTCAAGCTGTCAAGTCATCTCATCTCATCTCATCAATTCAATATCAATACGTAAAAGTATAGGAAGAGTACATGTGACTTATCCTCTTTGAAAAGGTCAAGAAGAGGTTATCGAATACGGCATCTGCACCTGCATTACTCCTGCGTCAATGTTTTGGGATGATCTACGCATGTGGCGAAGAGAATTTGGGCTGTTGTGTCTTTTCTAGAAGGAAATACGAGTAGGTTAATTCCTATTGAATCACGGAGTAGACATGTGTATATACCTACCTATCTTTAACTCTTGTCATTCTCGTCGCTCTTGTCACACACACAGACTCTCAGACTCTCACACACACTCACACACACACTCTCTCTCTCTCACACACCATGAATGAAAAGCACAACATGACCTTTCGACATGACCCTTTCAAAATGTCTACTTCAGATGTATTAATCACTACATCAAAAGTCTCAGCCACGCCATTTTCTGTAAAACTTTATGATTTGGATCATCACCTTCTTTTCTCTTTTCCCTTTCCTTTGTCCTTTAGTCTGGAGTTGAAGGATTATCTTGTGTCAAATCAAAAGGGTTGATTTCCAAACACCACACGCGCAGAGACATAGCTATCCATCCACGCACGCATCCATAGATCGTGCATCGTGTTCACTAACCATAATAATAACCTTCTCCTTCCTTTTCACATCCCTCGATATTAGATGCCTTTTTTCGGCCGACCAAGCTGCAAATGTGTTTCCACCAGATGAAATTTCGCAACCTAGAAATCTGTTAAATATCCTTGGTAGGTCTTGGACCGCTTCTGGGCTTCTCCTTGGCCGATGGACCAACATTGGCCATAATAGGATGTGAGAGGATTAAATGGATTATTCAGACACATCTTTTTGCCAATGAGAATTATGAGACGAGAAGAATTAATCTATATCCCATTCCATCTAGTACCAATCCATACCGATGGTGCAAGAATTGTTTCAATTGAGAAATTTAATGTTTTACCATCGCACACTGCTTTCATTTCTCGAATTTATATGATTCACTGTGATTCTATATAGATGAATTTAGCCTGTTCATATACGAGGGTGTAAAACAAGAGGTAGGTAGTAGGTAGTAGGCCAAGGAGAAGGGGGGGAAGAGAAGACTCAAAGGGTAATTGGAATGGAAAAAGTAAGAGAGGAGGAGAGAAAAGCAAAATTAGTAATCATCATCACAGGCAATTGAATTTGTGGGTGCCTTGAAGATACGTAAGGCATTCAGCATCAAGGTTCTGCAGTTATATTTTTATGATTCGGCAGTGCAAGCTTGGTAGATCCCTTGGCAATAGCATCACCTTGCATGTTAAAAATACTACCCTATCACTTTGATGGCCACCTTGCACGTGCCGACGAAGGTACCTCGAGGGTATCAAATGATTCTTTTGCCTGCCTCCATAGAGGGGACCTATCAAAGTGTATACCATCAATTCAATCTTTACTTGCAGATGACAAGACAGCAAAAAGTTACTTCAGTCAAAACAACATCAGCTGCAGATTGATTACGGCTTTCTTACTCTTTCTTCACTACCCATAAGTACCTGGTAGTCCTGCGTAAGTGCATCCATTATATGACCTAATCATCGTCTTCATTATCAATCACAGCCGCATCTTCGGTATCCACGGAGCCCGGGCAGGTACATTAACCAAGACCCTGACCTGAAATTGAAACAAGCAAGAGATTTCACGACGGTTAACATTCGTTTAAACATTCGTTCCTGGCGCAGTCAGTCTGCTGTTTGTTGGACCTTCTCGTCTCCCTCCCGAGGTCTTCTTACCACTCGTACCCGCCGATACTCCGTTTGTTTTTTTGCCGCCTTGCGGTTCTATTTCGATTCATATAAAAACAAGAACAAGGAACCAACAACTGGAATGCAGAACACACAATACTCACCATATAATATTAAAACCTCGTCGCACATCTCTGAAGCTTTGGAAAAGTGTCTACCAATCACGACCAAAGTTTTGAGCAGGAAATCGCCCTATTAATTAAATAGAATTTCGGGAACAGATATCTTGACCAAGGACCACTCAAAGGACATTAACCTCATTTATCAATTCCCATCTTTCTCCTCATATCCTCACTCAATTCCCCGTTGTTCCTCTTTATCCACTATCGAAGAAAAAGAAAACCCACCGCACCGCTGCTGCCGCGTAATCCTTACCATTCGAAAAGGGTTTGAATCACTCGAGTCACTCCATCTCAAACATAGCAATCCTCGTTCACGCTGCCACATCAAACCAAATAGCGCACAATTCTTAATCCCCACATACTCAAAAGCGCACAATTCGGTCAAGAATCCACAATTAAACCTTTCATGGGGATTTCTATTACCCTTGAGAGTGAGGAATAACATAGAGTGCCGAGAGAAGAATTATATATACAAGTCTCCACTTTGGCAGATCCTCCCTATTCGATTTTTCATTATCATTCAAAGAGAAAAGGGAGAACGTCTCACGAAATGACGTTGAGTAAGTGAACTACTTCCATTCACACTCATTTTACCTTACAATTTTATATCTTCTTCCAAATTCTATAATTCCACTACAAAACTTTTGGGCTTTGTACCGGAGGAAGTCAAAGAACAGCTAGAAGCGCAAGCTATTACGAAAGTGCTGGAACTAGAAGATCTCAAGATGAGCTCTAGTCCAAAGAAGAGGTCGAGATCCGTCTCCCGCTTGCATCGCATTTCTGCATATCTTCCAAACATTTTTGTAGAGACAGACTCTAAATCTACTAAAGAAAAGGTTCCACCCATACCTCAAAATGCCAACATTCCTATTCGACAACCACCATCTCCCGAACCATCCGCAGATATTCCACCTGTTCCTGCGCTTCCTGCAATGCCCGCCAGTGCTCCGCCAGCACCATCGACTCAGCAGACACCCAATAAATTACAAAAGGAACAACCTCATAATAATTCATGGCCACTCAATCCCTCTCCATCGCCAGATGTAACAGAACCGCCTGTTAACCAACTCACGGAACGAAGAGGCAGACACGGTTCCACTTCGAATGTCAATTCCCTTGCACCTCCATCTCCATTTTCCGCGGTCAGTGGTAATGGAAATAGATCAGTATCGTCTCCGATATCCAGTCGACCAACTTCATACACTTCAGATGGCGAAAATAATGCGAAAGCATCAAGACGAAGGAGTTTTTTCCCAGTAAAAACAAAGTCGAGACATTCATCATCAAACTCCGGCTCAGATGGTAGATCATCTGCCTGGGTGATTGCAGGGGATCAAAAGATTGATTACAACATTTCGCTTGTGACCAATGGCGAGAAGGTAATAATAATATTGGCCGAACCTGTGAAAAGATTATAACTGACAGCCAATAGGTACCAGAATTGTGGGAAGAATATTGTGATACGTCTGTACATGTTTTTCCAGAATCTTTTAGCCATGGCCCATCGTTCAAAGTTCCCTCTTTGGTCCTATCGTCATCTATACCCCTTCACGAAATGATAACCAGCAGTATCACTAAGCGGAGGTCAACAAGTTTGGATTCGGCCGGTAGGCAAAGTCCTGATGCTTCAACACAAACCGGTACACCCCCAGAAACCCCTGTTGATGGACCATCTGGATCGGAAGCGTCATCGGATTATATGAACCCATACCCTGAAAATAATGGGGAAATTCATCTTTACTTTCCGACAGAATTATCTACTGATGATCCTACTAAATTCTCTCCTGACGATATACAAAATCTCATCAATGTTCGAAATTTCTTTGCGTTCATGACAGGTCAGCCACTTGTTGCCACCAAAAGTTGTCCTACTACATTTTATATATTCTTGGCCATATCGTCAATGTTACAGAAGTTCGAATTTAGCAATTATGATGGATCAACTTATGGAGAGGCAGCAGCAGCTAGCTTTGCCTTTTTCCTCGATGAATTTCGTTTAGCCGATGTTAGACAAAGTCGAGAGAAGACCATTGAGGCACTTATATTAGGAGAGCGCATGAGATCCACAGAATTATATCACGAGGCATTTGTGCACGCAGCTGGAAAATGGCATTCGATCAAAGATCTCAAATCGAGTCTTTTCAAAGAAATTTCAAATAACACTCGGGATCGATTGGAACGAGCCTCTTTGGAGCTTTCTCAAAGACAGCAACGTGCTGAGGAGCGATTGGCTGATTTTGAGTACCCTGCTCTATTTTCTGGTGCAGCTTCATCAAAGACTAGCGCAGAATCTAAAATTGCTCGATTCCAAAATTGGAAGACAAACTACCTGAATATGAGGAGACATGTACTATCGTACTACAAGATAGTTCATGGTCAATGGCCGCCAAAGCAAAAGACCAAGAATCAATTTGTGGAAGGTGGCTTGAATCGAAAAGTACTAAAACAGCTTTATTCTGATATGTGCAACCTTTACGACTTTATGGCTGACCGAGATACTATCACCACTCGATCTATGGACTCAGAAGATCAAGATGTTGCTCATGCTCATCCAATTCATTTGGCAGCAAGAAAAATCTTGGCTGAATTCGATAGATCTTCTCCTCCAGTTTTACCACCCATTCCATTCGACATACCTAAAATTCCAACTATGGCATCTATTGAACCTGGTTACCCTCTGCTATCACCTAAGGATCAACATAAGGCATCAACTAGGAAACTCAAGGAATACGAGCTACTTCTTATCTTAGCTAAGAGTCATAACCTGGATGCTGATAAGAAAACTCCTTTTATGGAGATGCACAAGTCATTTGAGGAGAAAGAATCCAAGGGCAAGAATGTTCAAGAATTGGCCGATCAAAGATATGGACATTGGTTGTTCCTCTACGCAGTTATTCAATCACTTCCTATGCTTGTTGTAGATGTGGACAACTTACGATACACGGAAGGAGTAGATTACTTCTTGTGCCAGCCACCTCTGGGTAATTTACCTTGGCTGGAAGATGCGTCGGGAGTGAAAATGGCATGGTACGGGGTTCAAGGAGGCCAAGGAGTGGTTAGTTTGCCTAGCGACGTGGTCAATTATGGTACAGAAGGTGTCTACCGCAGATCGCATTGTTGGACAGTTGCTCAGAAATGGATCAACAATGCTGAAGCGCATGAGATCTCACAACCTTTCTCGCCAGATGATCAAGAAGAAGGAGTAATGTCACCACTTGCGCCACCTCCTGGATTTGGTGGAAGCTTTAGTCGGCCAGATAGTCGAGGTCGCGAAAATTCTTCTCGAAGATCAAGTGTTGCAAGTAATGGTATGCTTGGAGTTGATAATCGTAGCAACAGTCGACAATCTCAACGAAACAGTGTGATGTTGGGTTTGGAAATGTTACCAATTCCTGGTAATATGGAACCTGGTTTCAGATCAGACTCGCCAGGTGGACGCGAATCACCCGTGAGTGCTATGGGAAGAAGAGGTGCATCGCCTTATAGCCGCAACAGTGTGATTAGTCGCAATAGCGTTGTTAGTCTTCATGGGGATGGTCGACCTGTATCTTCAGCTGGAAGAAAAGAATCAACTTTCGATGATATTCTTGGTACTTCTGGTTTGGGACAGAAAGAAAAGGGAAAGAAGAAGTGATGTAAAGGGATTGAAGTATTTTTTTTATGTTTACATGAAGGATGGAGTTTGAAAAATTATTACCAAACTATACGTATACAAGTGTGTGTGCGAGGATATGGATATTAATATAGGATACCAAAAAACTTTGAATGTCTGTGCGATATGCGGTATTGCGGAAAGCGAGCATATCTTGAGGGAGCATTAGTTGGGCGTTTTTGAACTTTTTTTTCTTTTTCCCCTTTTTAGGGGATGGATATATATGGAGAGAGATGCGGAAGTAGTATGAAATCGGGGAGGGGAGTTTGTTTCCTTCTCTTAATCTACTCTTTGATGTGGTAGTTGTGGGGTGATGGATGAGTAATTTAAAGATGAGAGATGGAAGTGAGGGGAGTGTATACATGGATTTCATGATGTTGTAATGAAATGAAGAGAAGAAGTCGTAGAGAAGTAGCGAGATAGTGAGGTAGTAATGAAGATACATACATATATGTGTGTGTATTGAAGATGCACTTGAGATATTCCATTTGAATTGATAGATGAATTAGTGTATGAGATTTGAGTGATTGAAAATTGAGAATGGATGGATTTAATATGGGTTTTGTGTTGAGGTAAGTGAGGTAAGTGAGATGAGATAGAGAGTGTGTATAATATAATATAGGATTGCCAGTTGATATATTTCTATTTTCTTTAAAAAACAAAGTTTATGTATTTTTTCGATTTTTCGATGTTTGTTAATTCAGTTGTTGGATATTGGTTGATTGATTTTTAGAGATAGATAGATGGATGGATTTATCATTTTGGGATTTTGGGATTTGAAGGGTTGAAGGGTTGAAGGGTTGGAATTTGGAATTTGGGGGAAAGGGGATTATTATGGGAATTGGGAGTTAGAATGGGAGTGGGAGAGGGGAGTTGGGTGTTGGGAGTTGGGAGAGAGTGGAGGGTGGAGGATGGAGGGTGAATTGAGGTGGATGAATCATGAGAGGCTATGGGAATGAGGAAGTTGAGGGTAAGATAGATGGAAGAGATGAGAAGATTCAAAGGTTAGTAAAGGAAGAGAAGGAGATGAGAATTTGGAGAGAATAGAATCTAATGAAATGAGTGAGTAGTGAAAGATATTAGATTTTGTATCATTTAAAGAAGTAGGAGATGCTTTGAGGGAGTCAAGAGGTGAGAAGAACAGAGGAGATGGAAACCTATTAGATTGAAAGATCAAAAGATTGATAAGGGAAGTAGTATTTGTGCATTTGTATTATGTGGCTGTAATTGTATGATTTCTATTCTGATATGATTCATAGTATGGTAGGGGTACAAGATTAAGAGAGATAAAATTCGAACTGTTATCCGAGTAGTAGTTGAAAATTGGTTGTAGGAGACGAGGAGTGATCATCATAGCCAAATTTATGCGGTTTTTTTCATAGTTTGTACATGTTAGAAGGTTTTGCGTCCCTCTCTCTATGATGAATTAGATGAATAGAGTATTTATTATTACATGTTGAGATTGTGCAACGCGTAATTCTTCTGACATATACTAGCGATTGAAAGGATGATTCTTGTTTCTTTTTCTGACTAATAGAGGGGCAAGATAAAAAAGTGAAGTGGAGGAGGAAGTAGTTGAAGACGTAGTTCGAGTTCTCTGATCGAATGAATCACGTTCTAAAGACAGTTTGTATAGTAGTACATACATACTAAAATGTACACGACATACATCAGTGTATTTAATGTTTCCAAAACAACATATATATATACTAGTCGAAAGAACGAATGGACAATGTGGAAATGGCGTGGATTGAGGATTCTTGAAAGTAATTTCGACTGAATCCCACCTTGTAATTAGTATCAAAATGCTATCTAAAATAAGAATGATCAATAGTGGCGATGAGTTTGACCCCGGCTATTTTATGTCTCAAGATGAAAGAAAAATAACACTACCTCAGTTTGTACGAGTTTGATTCTCGCGTTTATTTTCATAAAATCAGGGTATCTAATCTTCAGACCAGAGGTAAGGGTGGTACGAGGGATTGAATATTAGAAACACTCGAGCGTGAGACTTTTCGAGATTGATAGATATCTACATGAAGATATATGGGAAGAAACAGAACTGACTAAATGAAGAGTATGGCATTTGAGAAGGAACGTCCTCTTAATTTGAAGGAAGTTTTGAGAAAGAAGAGATGTGAACTATCAGATATACGTATATTGATAGACACACGTACAACGGATGTATGGAGCCGAAGGAGCTGACCCGAAGATTCCGGATAAATGAGGGGCGGGTCACATCTGGGTAGGGATCGAAGTTTCAGGGCGAAAATCCGAACACGTGTAGCCGTGAAGCATGGCTATCTGGATGGGAATTGAGCGGGTACTTTGACCACTTAGTTGGATCTTCGTGACGTAGTGAAGGGGGGTACGGGGTGGATTTGGTGGATTTGGTGGGTAGAATTAATGGGTAGAATGAATGGGTATAGTGAAAGTGTAGAGTGAATGCATGGAGTAAATGTATAAAGTGAATGGGTAGAGTGAATGGATCGAGTGAAAGAGTCGATAAACAGATAGAATGAAGAGGTAGAACAAAGGAGTAGGACGAATGAGTAGATTGAATAGGCAGAATGAAGAGGAAGAGATATTTGTAGAAGGGGCAAGACATAAACTCTTCTTTTCTGCGGTGTTTTCCTTGAAAAGAGCCGGCTTATACGCAAAAGAAATTTGATGAGAAACCTCAAAGACCAACTTGTAGGACTCTGCTACCCTCTTCTCCTTTCCTATGACTCTTCGTAACTGTCTTCAAATCAATCATGTCGAAATTGGTTCAATCGATTTAACTGAACCTAAATCCACGTGATTTCGCCCCTTTCACGACGTTCCTAGCCTGTGAATTGTCACTCAACCGCCTTCTATTGCCTGCCCCAAGCTTTTACAAAAGAAGTTTTTCCAGCAGCTGAGCAAAATTAATCTTGATTATCTTCACCTTTTACAAGTTTTTCTTCGCAAGATGGGTGAAGCAATGTTACTGTAGCAGTAGCTGTGGGGATCGTATTGGATGATGGGTTGTTGTCACTTGTCATGATGGGGCTGAGTTTATATGTATGGGGTGGTGAGTGGAGCGTAAAGTCGTAAGACTTAACGTGCCGTCTTGGCATACATGGGGCCGCGGCGGGTTGCCGGTTAATCACATTCTTTAGCGAGGAGCAGGGGGTGGATTTTCTACGAGAAGGGTGAGAGCTACGTTAACCGTACCAATCATATCAGGCTGGATATTTTTCGTCGTTGGAGAGGTTTAAGCTTATTCTTGTGCAGGATCTTGTGATTTGCGGGCTTTCCGACGGCCAATTTGAACTGAATTGGTTAGGGTTGAGGTGGGTTCCAATATTGGGTTGCATCCGGTCGTGAAGTGTTTGCGGGGTAGATAGTGGCAAAAGATTTTAAGAGGATAAGACGAGGCTGAAATATTTAGAGAGGGGAAAATCAGGGTTATCATTGGACTTTACGTAAAACCATTAATTCCAGTTGTCAATTTCGTTGAAACATCGAAAAAGAAGTGCGCTTATATTTGGTTCATGACACGATTCATGGTGTTAAGAACACTATATCTACCGGTAAATGATACGCTGTGGTGAAACTCGATTTGAGTATAGATGAGGGTTTTGATAGAGGAAGGATTCAGCCTGTCGTTTTTATTACATGCATGTCTATAAGACAAGAAGGCCATCTACGTAGGTGGAAAAGTGTTGAGCTCTTTTTACTTTATACGAGTTGCATGATAATGCTTAAGCTTTTGATGAGTAATACAGGAGTTATATGAGCGGTTAGTGGAGTTGAGTACTGGTGACAGAAACAGCCAGGACAGACTAGCGGATACTACTGCAAGAGCGGGGGCGGGCTCGGAATTAACAGTGCGCATCCGTTAACTAATCGGTGAATATCAGAATGAGACGACCTGGATAAATATCTGGATGATTGGATGGGAATTTTAAACCGTGATAGACCCATTTGGAATGAAGAATTGGCATTCAAACCTAATACAGAATCAGGATTTGGGTTTACACCTATTCGAGAACAGGAGTCTAGCACCACTCTAATGCACCACATTTTAGGTTCAGCTTTTGAACGTCAAGCCTCAAATTTGACAGATCCTAGCGGAAATCATAGCTGTCAATGAAAACGATACGAATACCGGGGATATCACTCAATCAAATACAATGGTACTCATAATGAATTTGAGATTGTGAACTGTGTGACTTTTTCTTGTTGAGTGCGAACTTGCGACATGGAGTAATCCTAACAAAGATATATGTGCTGTCTTTTCTGTATACTGTTAAAAGAGTATCCGGGACGTCAACGCCTTTGAGGAATGAAGTTTATCTGTTCCATATTTGGCTTAAATTACATGCATTATCTGTCCCCACTAGGAGGTATGAAATTGTGGGGATTACACGGTGCTTTCAACGTGGTGGAGATGGAAAACGGGAATACATGTCAATACGAACTTGATCCAATTTAGTAACAGTAGATTGACTATATGTAACACGTGAGTTATCCATGGTAGACCTTCTTCATAAGTGACTGGGTTGGTTAAAAGAAGAGGTGGGATTCTTCATCTGCGTCAATCATCATAAAGGAGGATCTTCCAAGAGAAATCTGTAGGCTGAATACAATCTAGACTCTTTCAGTAGTAGGAGAACTAGTTTAGAACAATGAGAACATAATGCAATTTAGTTGTGGTGTGGTGCCTGTCAATCACCAAGTGCTGCTACTTGACAGATCATGCGAGTTATTTTCTTTTTTTCTCCATGTATTATGCAGATCATCTCGATCTCCCTTCGCCTGAGTCTTTAGGTCCTTGGGTGGCAAGCAATTCGAATCCGTGTGAGAAATTCATGTTGAATTCAAGACTCATCTAGAACATTAGAACAGGGGATCAACTTCAGTAATCTAAGCGTTCTTTATTATGTAGATCTTTTTCCTCTTACACTTCAATACTGCAGTCTGAATGCCCTCAACTGGAACATTTATGCTTCTCGGCATTTCTTGGTGATCCTTCGTTCCTACAGAAATGGCAAATAATAGCGAATCATGAGACGCAGACCTCTACTTTTCAACATGTTCACTGGAGCCAGTCAGTCAGAACAAGAAATAACAAGGAATATGAATATACAACAAGACGGTAAATATCAAGAATGGCCATCGAAGACTGCCATTCGGAGTTGATTCTTCCCATAAAACGGCTATGATCGGCATTCGAGGCGTCGTTGAAAGGGCCAGATACCACTGCCCTCATATGAGAAGTTGGAAGTGGCAGTCTAGATCCACTTACTCGCATCTCATGCAAGAATACCAAAGGTTCCACCTACGTGGATGGCTTTTTTATCCTAAAGACTACGTGCAGCTGGGACCTGCTGCTAGGGTAGTGACTTCCAAGTGGTACATCACACCTCTCGAGAAGTCTATAAAGAGCAGAGGATTTCCTAACTCAAACAACATCAATCACATCATCAATCACTTCAATCACTTCAACAAGCTCTTCAAGTAAACAACATTTACCAGCTCTCTCAAGCTTCCAAACTTCCAACACTCCATCAGTCAAAATGCACGCCTCATTCTCCGCCGTCATCACCACTCTCCTCGCTGTCAGCGTCGCCGCTCTCCCAACCGTGAGTTTCTGAGATCTCTTCTCTTCTCATCCATCAAACTAACATTCAATTTCAGAACGATGGTGGTAGCCCATCCCATACCTGGGGCAGCACTTCCCCAACTGGCGCTCCAACTTGCTCCGGCACCAAATACACCTGTAAATCCGACTCACTCATCAGCCTCCTCACCTGCACCAACATCTTGAACGGTGTTGGCATTAGCATTCCAATCACTCTTAAGAACCGTGCTCTCGAGGAACGAGGAATTGAAGCCCGTACCAGCAAGGAAGATGGAGATTACTGCTGCACTTCCGTTGGATTGCTCTCTCTCAGCTGTCTCAATGTTGCAAATGGCCTTACCATCTTCTTGCCAATCTCTCTATAAACAATTGGCTTAGGTTTTGATGGTGCGGACATGAACTGGGGGTCGGAAGTGGGCTTGTCTTGTGAGAATTGGTGGGGAGGTGACATGGTTTCTGAAGCAGTTATTTTTGTTCGTGTTCGCGTATACGATGATGAATTTGATGAGGTGATAAGAGGTTGATGCAGTTTTGCATAACATTCATTTAAATGCAAATCTATTATGATATATCTTTTAGCTATGCAACGTGATTCTGTCTTCAAGTCTCTTGTGAAAAAGCTTTTTTGAGTCTCGGAATACTTGAAATCGATTCAAAGATATTAATCTAAGGATCTGCCTGTGAAATGGATTTTTAAACTTGCTCAGAAGAAATTACACTACAACTTGTCACATAGAGGTTCACATGTGACTTTACAAACCAGCGCTATTCATGAAACAAATCCAGACACAAATAATAGGGGTTTAAGTTATTCGTGCCTGTCGAGTCCATTATAATAACGTACAACCATATGTTTAACAATCTGTGTGGCCCTAACATCATGTTAGTTATCTTAGTCATATGATCTTAGGATTTCATGTCATTTGATACTATAACATATCATTGAAATGTCTTGAAGCGAGGAGAAATGACTTCGATATGACTACAAATTCACATGATTATGGAATTCAAACTAACTCTCATTTAAGAACAGCACCAAAGGTCAATCATAGTATCAGGTCAATTATAAGGTAATGGGCTGTCAGGGTATGCTGCATGGGCAGGAAGGACCCTATTCCTTAAGTATGAGTGTGATCTATTGTGTATTCTCTGCTTGGAAGCTTCGTGTGATCTCTCTCCTTATCCTCATGATTTATTCATGATAGAAGCCTACAAGTTTAGTTGAGTGTTTGTCAACCTGCCATCCGTTAACTCTGCAATTAACGTGATTGAGAAGGAATCGTCATTATTCATAAGTGAGTATCCTCAGGCTTTATGAACCTGGAATTTTTCGTATATTTTATAGCAATGCATAATGGAACAGAAATGTATGATTGAGTGAATATCTTGTATTCACATCACATTAATTTTAAATAACTTCACTTGGTAATGTGCCAAGTTGGTGGTGAATTTGCTGGTTACTTCCAGCTTAGCGAATCAACGTCATTTCTGCTAATCCTGTACAATCAAATCTTTCCAGATTCGAATCATCAACGAGATTCCAATACGGTCATCATTTTCAGGACTATACGACTATGACTATACACTAGTGGATAAGTTAGCGACTGTTTTCAGCGTCGCTTTCTCTTATATAATGTTTACAATCATCACAATTATCCAACAATAGTACTAAGATTTATTACATCGAAATCATATCCTTCATCACCTAGCGCTATATCAGCGGAAAGGAACTCATACAACTTACATTAAAAGAAATTTTTTTCTACCTCGTCAACATGACCAGCAATACGTTGATCATAGACGCAGATGGAGACCTAATTCTCTCATTCGATCCAGAAGAATGTTCATCGTCTCAGACAGATGATACCTGTACTGACGCCGATTCATCAGAAGATGCTTCTCAGATCATAGATACCAAGCCATCAAATGCAATTTCCAGAATTTTGATTAAGGAACCGATCTCTCGCTAACCGACACATCCGTTAAAGAACTGCCCGTGTCAAACGACTCTTCGTGGGTCGAGCTGAAGCAAGTCCGTATGCTAGTCTCATCCAAACACATGTCCGTCGCTTCGCCAGTGTTCAAAGATATGCTCAAGGCAAGCTCTCAAGAGGGTGTCGAATTGAAAAAAACGGAAGTGTCGCTTCGTGATGAGGATTCAAAAGCATGGAATATTTTACTCAACATCATACATGGACATTTTAGGTCTGTCCCTTTGGATACCAATCTGCCCATGTTCACCCAGATTGCACTCTTATGCGACAAGTACCAAATGCATGAGATTGCTTACGCATTCACACCAACCTGGAAGATGTCGGCTGGCCACGACTCTGTGTCGGGAGAAGACATACCTCGCTGGATCTTCATAGCTTGGACTTTCAATATGAAAGATGTACTTGAAGAGATCACGAAAGGCCTTGCTCTCAATTATACTGGAAATGGAATCCAGAAATTGTTCGGCATGACTACTCTACCGATTCCCCAAATTGTTATGGGTAAGCATCTCAGGCTCTATCCAGTCTGGACTTTATTTCCATTTGATCATTTAACAAGCGCTAACACTACTTTTACAGATGAGCTTGAAAATTCTCGCCAACATGCAATTGCTGAATTGGTTGATATGCTTGATTACACCATACAGCGATATCAGGAAAATAGTTCGAAGTGTTCGATTGTAACCAGATGCAGTGGAGATAGAGAATCTTACCGTAAGCAATGTGATGCAATGATACTTGGCATGTTGTTAAAAGGTACCATTGAACAAGGGATCCACCCATTCCCAACGAAGCCATACAAGGAGTGGTCTTTTTCCACTTTGGAGAAGAAGATCAAATGTATCAAACTTACTTCATTGTGCGCTGCTATGTCATTGATACCAGATGTTCATTGCGATCAGGACCATGGAATCTCTAAGATTATTACATCATGGATCAGACATACTGCGGAAGAAGTCACTGGGCTTCAATTAGAATCCTTGAAGAAAGATGCATCACCGGAGATTCAATGGCCAATTCGATAAGAGAGTAGGAAAGTCTCATTTTTCGTGGTTGACATGGTCAAATTGTCATGTTGAGATCCCACTCCATGGTGCGATATATGGGACTTTGATATGTTGACGATGGGGATCTAGATCATCCCCCATCAGGCAACGGTTTGGTGGACTAGTAGGATAGAGGATTCTTTAGATATTTTAATATTCAATGAACAACACAAGATGTAACTATTCCCATGCCGTGAGAACAATTTGGCCCTATGAAAATGGAGGAAAACGGTCTAACAAACAGGAAATGTAATCAATAGATTGTAGACCCTTAATCATCCGTCCATGTCCACAATGCATAGAAAAGAACGGCGTTGCAGCCCTCTCGTTTGACGTTATATTGTTGCCTCTGGCGCGCGTCGTTCGTGATGTTCTGTCTGTTGTGAAATAATTGCGGGGCCGGCGCGGCTTGGTGGCGCAGCGAGCAATCTGACATTAATCACGTGCTTGTAGCCAGGCAGCACTTTGGACTTGGTTTGTTTTTGCATCTTAATAAATACATCATTACCCATTACTTATGCGTCTTCCTCGTTTTGCATCGAAATTATTCTTACAGAATTCTACAACATCTTTACAACGATCTCCGAAACCAAGAATGGCGGGCCAACAACCAAAAATCCCCACCCGCGTCATGGTCATTTCAGACACCCACACCTTCGAATTCAACGACGCCGATATTCCTCTCTCGCTCTCTAAAATCCCATCAGATATAGATGTTCTTCTTCACTGTGGTGATCTCACTAGAGTTGGTGACTTATCTGAATATCGTAGCGCTCTTCAAATGTTGAAAGCCATCCCCGCCAAGTTAAAGCTCGTGATTGCGGGAAATCACGACCGGACTTTGGATAAAACATGGGTTGTAGGCAATCTCGGCCACTCATACACGAAAGAACGATATGATGAGGCTTTAGAGGAATGTGCTGCGGGCAATGAAATCATGAAGGGTGACATGGCGAGGGATGCTGGTGTCACTTATTTGGAGGAGGGGGTTCATGATTTCAGCCTGGAGAATGGAGCAGCGTTGAGGATCTATGCAAGTCCATATACACCTGAATTTTGCGGATTTGGATTCGCGTATGAAAGATATCAGGATCGCTTTAATGGTCCAGATGAACTTGATTTGGGGATGCAAAGCGTGCGTGGCGCGGTGCGGATACCGAGTTTTGGAGAGGATGAAGGTGGTAAGAACATTGATATTGTCATGACTCATGGTCCTCCAATGGCCGTTTTAGACGAAGTCTATGGACGTGCTGGACATGTAGGATGCTGCAATTTAGTCAAGGCACTGGAAAGAGCAAAACCGACATTGTTTTGCTGCGGTCACATTCATGAAGCGCATGGTGCAGAAGTAGCGACGTGGGGAGAGGATGGCATTTCAAAGATGAGAAAGGTTGAATGTGGGTGGCCGGGGTTGAACGTTGAACGTATTGAAGAAGGTAAAGAAACACTAATGGTTAATGCAAGTATAATGAACCTGAGGTATCAGCCAACGCAAAAGCCTTGGTACATTGAGCTCGCTCTACCCAAAGCGACGGCAACGGAGATCGAACCATAAAGCTTTCATAGAAAATTACCATCATATGAGCACACTTTCTCCAATCCAGGCTGAATATTAAAGCCTTCCGGTAGATGCTTTTGCGCAAAGAGAAATCAAATACAAGAGCTCAAGGAAATATCAAATTTGATTACTAGCAGATCAAAGTGTACAGATTCAAAAGCAAGTGGAATTGGAGCTAACTTTCATCTGAATTTGAACCACACCGTAATGGCAAGTTGCGATGACATACAGATAACGTGAAGCCGACCAGAAGGCACCAAACAAAGCCAGCATTACAACAATGAGCTCTATAATATGTTATCACTTACTCGGCAACTTTCCAGACCTTCTCCGTAATCTCGCTGGGAATTTGCCCTTGGGTGGTAAAACCCCCAGTGAAAAGTACTTGAAGTCTGGTTCAGGATTTATATTACCAGTCAACTCGATATCAAATTTGGACAAAAACATCGCTATGCTTCCGATAGATTCCTGCTTTGCATAAAATCGACCCGGACATATCTGCTGGCCACCACCATAAGGAATCCAAGAGCCGCTGACCGTGTCCGTGGTGAGTTTAGGTTTTGTGATTTTTTCGGATGGATGTTTACCTGAATATGATTTTCTTGGGCCGCTGTATGGATTATTGGGGTAAAGAATAAAACGGTCGGGCCAAAAACTATCTACGTCGTGCTCTCCGTTTGAGCCTTCATTCCAGACGTTCTTGTCGTGGCCCGCAAACCAGATGCTTGCTAGAATCATGGCTTCTTTCGGAAATCTCCATGGACCTAGCTTAAAATTTGAGGAGACAGTACTACGTTGAAGTGCGGCGGCGTTTCGCAGTCTGAGCTCCTCGCAATAAATTGATTGGAGGAGAAGATTTGACAAGAGATCGGGCATTTGTTGGTCAAGATTGGCAGTTGGGTGTAGTTTTGTAATGGAAGCAAGTTCGGCTTGGACTTGTGAGAGAAGATCCGGACGACGAATAATATCTAAAATACACCAAGCGATTGTCGGGATACTATTGGAATTCGCTCTGTGGATCGTTAGCTTACCTTCAAATGATTAGGTTCCATTTTGCAGCCCACTTACCCCCATATCAAGCCCAGATCGTTAGCCGCATGAGCTTGATCACCGAAGCCGTTGATCTTAGAAAGATGTCTTGCTCGGTCTTGAAAAAGCCTTGAGCCATAATATGGCTCCCATGACTTCTTATCAAGTTCCTTGTCGTCATGATCAACATGTGCCTCTGCTGATTTATGCCATTCAAGAATACTCTTGACCATTTTATCTCTTATCTTGTACGCTCCGGGTAAAAAAAATCTTGGAATACCCTTGAGTGGTCCTCCAACCTGAGAATCAAAGTTCCAAAAGTCCTCGGTGAATGTAGAATTGATTTCAAATATATGGGACCCACAAAGTGCAAGCGTATTGGCATTAAATACTGCATTTTGTACAAAAGAATACAGATCCGGTATCTCCAGCCATTCGTTCGTCCCCATATCAACTTTATCTAATTCTGTGCCAAGATTCGTTAAAAATCGAGTTACGACTTCTGCCAACCTCACACCAGTGAGGTTATCAGTATATGCTTGATGCGAGATATGATGATAACGTTGGTCTGCGGGCAAAGGGTTGCTACCAGGCAGTGGTTTTGGTGAGGTTCCAGTGTTGTCATCTAAAAGTACAGAACTGGCTTCAGGAGGAGCACCAAATATTCTTTCCACGATAGCCGCCATGGCAGGAATGGCTGTAAGATCCCGAGAGCCGCGGAACAATTTGAGGACATACTCTGGCCCTGAAACAAAGTAAAAGCTGTCGGAGGCGACTCGAATTCGAACAGGTACATGAGGACCAAAACGTTTTCTAGTCACATTCATAAGCAAACTTAGATGAACATAGATTGATTGCCATATGCTTACATGAGATGTGCCATATATCCACGAGTGTCAAAAGAAAAGGGTAAAAGATTTCCAAGTATAAAATCTGCTGATGGATCAATAGCGGGCAATTTGTCATTCTTTTTACTGTGCACAGCAATGACAGACGTAATTGTAGTGACAAGATATGACACCAGGAAGGGCAAAAGGCAGGCAGACACTGCCATTGCCTTCCATCCCCCATAAAGATAGATGTTATCCAGTATTTTCATATTCAATATAACATTGTTCAAGGACCTCGGGAGAGAAGCACTTATCGGAGTATCAATTAGAACTTGTATTGCTGGCCTCTTGTATTTCCAAACACGAAACAAAATAAGGCCGTTTCCCAAAATCGTGGCACTTGCCTTTTATTGTTCTTAGTATTGTTCCTGGACTCTTCGAAATGTATGAATAAGTCCGCAAGTTACCTATAGCAGGAAGTTCTTTGTTGCTTTAGGTGTATTCCAAACCCTCAATGTAGTGGTGGTATATTTCGATGTTCCATCTCGTTCACTCCAAGATTTGTCCATCAAAAGATGGCAGCAGACTTCTACTGATATAATCATGATGATTGCAAGGGTTGGTATCGATGACCATATATTTTGTCTCGGAAGATTGGAGATACTCAAGAAGTAGGAATGAGAAACTGAAGCCTACCGTCGACAGCCCGTGCTTACATAATCATCTTAATGACATCCCTCGCTGCTAGGCCTTCTTTTCTTTGATCAATCACTCAGAAACCGTAGGTGATTACAATATAATTATCGCAGCTTATGAAAGATCTACAGATCTGCTATGAATTCACATATTCTTGATGAAAGTTCATTAAGTTCAGAGTACATTTGAAAGTACAAGAAATCACACATCTTGATTTTTCCCCATAATAAGAGATGCCATGATAATTGAAGAGTGTCAAGTGTGGAATGCAGGAACAAAAAGACTAGAGAGATATAGAGAGCTTCAAACAATGGGATGGTCTCTCTGTATCAAACAGATAAGAAAAAAACAACGCACGAACCTGTTTGCAGCATTCTTTACATTAAGTCATCCCAGCGTTGAGAAGTGTCTAAGGTTCCACTCTTTGTCTGTCTGCCAGGACACTTTCTTCCACGATCACGTTTGTATCCTGCTATTTATGTTCAGAAATACCGATGGTTTTACCATGATAACTGTTCCCTAGATTGTTCCTTCGTGTAATTGTTTCATTATTATATCGTCGCCAGAACAAGCTGTGCGAAATGAACAATTTGATGAAATACAAACGATGCCATACTCCAAATTTCACTCCTCATTACTACAATCTTGACCTTCCGGTCAGTGCAACTCAAGAAGATGTTGAGCAAGCACATCACCGTCTTCTCGAATTACTTCATCCAGAAAATTTACGAGATCCAGAGCAAAGTAGTAGTGCGGAAACTGCCATTCAGCTTATCAACGAGGCTTATGAGGTATTGAGGGACGATGAGAAACGGTTTTATCATCTAATGGTTTGTGAAAAGACGTTTGGTTGCCGTTTCAAATCCGATTATCATCCGAGATTTGGAGTTGATTTTTGGGACAGGCAGTGGGCAAAGAAACATCTCGAAATTGATAGCTTCGCGCCTAAACCGTGGCCATGGGATTATGACACTTTATCAACTGAAATAATGTGCCCTACTAGAAAGAATGACGGTTTCCAATTTTGCACCGCGACCTGGGTAAATGTGGCTCATATCCTTGTGGACAACCTGCTACCTTACTCTGTAAGCGATAATATATGGCGTCGTGTTGAAACCTGGAGAAGTGGGAATCCTAGTAATGAAACGATTAAGGACGTATGTCTTGACTTTCAACGGGGTTGCGACAATTTTAAGGTTCTGGTAGAAAAGAGAGAAGCGTACATACCATGGTCACAAATTCCAGCCAATACTGATTGGCCAACTTTGGGCAAGCGATGTTCACTCTTCTGTGTCGATATTTTGACTGTACCTTTCAGCATCTTCTGCACCATCCTTGTCCTCTTGACTTGGGTTAGCCTCCAAACTGTCAAGAAGCGTGAAAGAAGGCGACGACGGCGAGTCTTTCGGCCTCCATCGGCAAGATCCGGTCGTGCGTCGACTTATCGAACAATAGATGGTGATATGTTACAATCACAAAATCAGTCTCACACTAGAGTCCCGAGACAACAAAGTTCCTTTTATCCTTCAGAAAGAGACTATTACGCAGATGAAGAAGCCACACCACTATACAGTCTAGGAAATTCGCGAAAGTATCCTGTAAAGGAAGTCTCAGATCGATATACAAATCCTTCAGACAAATCAGCATCAGCAGAGTACCCCAGTGCGAGAACAAGACAGAGCCGAGCTACAAATTCTGCTACTACCAATCTGACAACCAATCCACAGCCAGCACGACACAAGATTCTAAAAACACCCCAGCCTCGTTCCCAAAGTCCAAGTCCAAGTCCAAACCCATCTACTTCCACAACCCCCTCAACTCAATCCTCTTCAACACAATCCTCCGACACCAAAGCGCAGCGACCATCCTCCCCCGCCAACGCCTCCCAATTTTTCTCCCTCAACGCCTCCGAAAAACACTACTACTATCCCAATAACGATCTTCCTCTACGCGAACGACGCAATACCTCTACGTCCTTCCCACCCACCCGTCAGCGATACGTGCATTACGAAGACGATAAAAACTGGGCAGATGATAAACGCACACCACGTCTCTGCATGGCTTTAACAGCAACTGGAAAACAGTGTTCAAGAAGAGTTTCACTGGTGACGCCGCTGAGTGGGAGTGTGGTGGAGGCGTTGGTTAGTCCGCTTTGTTTTCAACATCGGCATGTAAGGAAATGGGTCAGGGGAGCTCATGGGAGAGATTCGCCTGTAGAGGAGAGTTTATCTTCGGCGGTGGAAGGGGATGAGTTGCCGGAGGAGGAGAGCAAGAGGCGATTGGTTCGGTTCTTCGATGAAGATGAGGATGACGAGTATCAATCTAAGTCATCAGCATGATTTGCAGTAGATTTCATCTCTATTCTGAAGCTTCTGTTATCAATTTGTTCAAGAGACCTGCGCAGATAAAAAGACAATGTAAATACTACAAACAAATAAAAGAGCATAAAGTTCATCAGGATCTCAATTCTAATCACGAAATTGAAAAAGATGTGTTGTCTCATAATCCCATCTTTCAAATTCCCATTCCAGAGCCCAATCTAGCCATAATGATTCCTACCATCTACAAGTCTAGTATAAGAGTATCCCTTTCATCAAACATTACTCCCCCCAGGCCCCAAACAAAATTACCCATCCATACACCCCTCAACCCACTTCCACATCTCCAGAAAATACCCACCTCACCCCTTCACATAAAAATTTCCCATACGATCCATTTTTCCCTTTCAATAAAATCCATCAACACCAACACATTCAAAAAATACCTTCCCCAATTCTCTCCTATAAAATCCTTCAAAGTGATCATTATCACAGATTATACGGAAAAACCCAAGGCTGTGGAGTGATGATGACTTGATGCTTAATATTTGGTAATCTGATCTGATGATATGACATCTATTGAGCGCGTGATCTCAATTCATGCGATGAGTATGGATGGGTATCATTATCTACCTAGGTAGTTGCTTTTTAAAATGATGAATACACTCTAATAAAACTAGACTAGAGTGATGTATTATCCACCTTGACTGCGTGTGTACTTCCCTCCATGAGTACCTTTACCTCATCCCCCGTATGAAGATTTCACGAGTCCGAAAGCTCAAGGATCGCGGCGCAGTGTAGGCAATAGTATACTACAGTAAAACTGTGGCGCGTATTAATATATTGATATTGCAGCTAGTACATTTAGAAAGGAGATTATACTACTCTCATATATATTTATATATCTAAAGAATACTAGCAATATACTGAAATACTAGGATTCAATATAAATTATTTATTTTATATCAAATTAGATTAGAAATAAGGGATTTTAATTCGATTTGGAATAAGGAATAGAATTTCATTATCTAATATAAATAGAAATGCATATTTTATATTAAATTCCAGTATTTCAGTATATTGCTAATAATATCGAAAGTTTAAATAATATTGAATATCTTTAGTGATATTGAATTTAATATCATGTATATACATATTTCGAAAAAGTTCGATATACACCACTAAACTAGCCCGTATACGAAATACGGGAAATACTATTGCCTACACTGTCGCGGCGTCACAGTGTTGGAGACCCAGAAGAACAATCAATACAACAAATAAATCTTTGACGAATTAACCTTACATACATTTCAAACTCCTCATAACTCATAAAGTCCCATGGTATCAAACTATCAAACTATCAAACTATCAAACTATCAAACTATCAATCTATCAATCTATCAATCTATCAATCTATCAATCTATCAATCAATCAATCTATCTATCTATCCATCTAACCTCCCCCTTCTCCTCCCAAACCCAAACCCAAACCTCTAAACCACACTCCCACTCTTCCCATCCCCAACCCCATCTACCCCCCCATACTCCACCCTCTCCTCCTGCACCCCCTTCTCCTCCCCCACAACCACATCCCTAACCCTCTCATCCAACAAACTATCCCCAGGCCTCGTCTTCCACGGTTTCAGACCGCCCTTCGCAAAAAGCAATTCAATCTCCTCGAGCGTCTTCCCCGCCGTCTCGGGATACGTAAAAAACGCCTGCACCGCCGCCGCAAAACACAGGACCCCAAAAATAATAAAAAGCTTCCAACTAATATTTTGAAACGCGCTGGGTATGAATAATCCAATGGCGAAATTAAAGAGCCAGTTTGCGATCGACGCGAGCGCCATTCCGGTTGCACGCGTCTCGAGCGACCACACTTCAGCGGCGTAGACCCAGGCAATGGGCGCGAGAGTTACCGAGTAGAGTAGCACGAGAAGGTAGCAGAAGGCGATGACGGTGTATGCTGGAGAGCCGGAGACTTGCACGCGGACGCTGAGATTGCCGTCGAGACCATCCGGGAGGTAGGTACCGTAGGAACCGAGGATGCCGCCGACGACGAACATGCAGATGCCCATTCCGAGAGCGCCGTATATCTGATAGGTCTGGGTTAGAGGATGTTTTTTCTGTTTTGGGAGATTGGGTTTGATTATTAGGAAAAGGGATACTTACGAGTAAGGGTCTTCGACCAGTTTTATCGATAAAGAAAAATGTCGCTGCAGTCCCAATGATGAAGATAGCGTATTGAATACCAGATGAAATAAGACCGATGTTTCCTGTCAAGCTAGCCATTTCGAAAATATAAACCACATAGTAAGTCATCACATTCGCACCGCTCAATTGTTGCCATGCCTGCACGGATGTACCTGCCAAGGTACGTTTCCACATTCCATTTTTGAAGAATCGTCTCCAACCCTTCTGGCCTTCGCGTTCGGCTGCAAGAATAGTGGTGATCTCCTCCCATTCGGCAATTACAAGTGGATCGTTGATATTACCGCCTGCTTGGATATCTGCCAGAATAGCGATGGCTTCCTTTTCGCGTCCGACTTTTGCTAGCCAGCGAGGAGAGCGAGGAAGAAATGGAATACCCATCATAAGAATGACACAAGGAATGAATTGCATAGCCCATGCGGTACGGAATGATGCTGTGGGGGTGGACTTGATAAAGCTGCACCCGTATCCCACAAAATACATTATGAAGATACCCCATTCAATAGACCATTGTTGTATAACAATAATAGATCCTCGACTTTCTTTCTTGGCAATCTCGGCGAGATATACAGGTGCTTGCGAGGAGGTGATACCTACGCAGATGCCATTGATGAAACGACCAGCGACTAGCATACCAATTCCATTACAAGAAGTTTGGAGAGCGGTGCCGAGCAGCCACCAGATACAGGCGAAGAATAAAGAGTCTCGACGACCGTACTTGTTGGATACGGGGCCGGCCATGATAGCACCGATGACTGAACCACCAGCCAAGGCCGAACCGATACCACCTTGAACGACACCTTGGGGGTTGTTGAAGTAGTCTATATATTGGCTAGTACCGATGATGGCCGACATAGATGAAATGTCGAAACCAAAACTAAATGCATTTCGTTAGATTCTTTTGTGTTCTGAAAGTTGGGTTGTAAGTTGTAGATTGTAAACTTAACACTTACAGCATTCCACCAACAGTGGCGATAGAAGCCAGAAAGTAGACATTGTTAATCTTTGGAAGATGCACCATTTTGAGCAGTAAAGATCCAGGTAGTTTTTCTGTCCTGGAGAAAGCAGAAGTCAAAAGACGAGAAATTCACTCATCTATATGTAATGATAACATCGTATGGGGCATTTGCATACCAAATGTTTTCATCGTGACTCGATACGAAATTTGTGGGACACCCCATGGAGAGAGCCCCCAAAGATCAAATCTGCTGTGTCATTGGTGCGCATATTATTTTCCACGATTTCTATCCTGTATGAAGTTGAGATCGTCGAGATGGTTGTTTTAGTGTCGTACTATGTTTCTTTAAGGTGGAGGTTGATTAGAGCCCGTGCTTCCACCTACAATCCACATACTGAGTAATGTCGAATCACGGTAGATTTCGGAAGCATCGAATCACTCATAACTTTAGATCGGGCCGTTAGCCAGGCCCGGTTTTCTCTAGCTGTTTATAGGAGCGCATGCATGTGATATGGCTCGACACTGACGTATGGTTGTGCGGGCATTGCAGTATTATTATTCGTTGAGGAGATGTTGGGGCAATGCTCCAGGTTTTTTTGATAGCGTGAATCTTGGTTTGGGGTCTCCAGAGAAACTGAAATTCAATGGATCCACAATGTGTGGGAACATATTTCGTGAATACCGCGGCAATAACAAGCGGCATCGCCAAATGTAGAATGTCGAAACTTCATATGTAAATATGGTCCACAATTCAATATTTGGCACAGGCAATGAAAAGTACGGCTATGTAATAAAGGGTAACATCCGAGATGCATGTCGGTAGATACCATAGACATATCGGCCAATAGATATATATGTGACGTAGGTGCCGTGTGTCCCGGAGGAATAGTTGTGGATCCTCACGGTCTGTACCATGTCAAAATCACTGATGATTGCATGTATGAATTCCAAATTCTGTATTGCACCGAAAGACTAGAAGAAAAACACGGTTCAATTATTCCAATCATTCTAAAACATCTATAAAGCAATCGCTCAATGCGACATCCGACATAGACTTGAGCATGATTGCTGTTCACTCAGACAAAACATTTGACCACCAAGGCAGTAAACGAACTGTCTACCTTGGGAAAGCGGACACCAAAGTATTCTATTTGATCACCAAGATTCAAGGACCGTATTACTCCAAGTCTATCGAGAATCTTTTTCTCAAAGAGGCTCCGTAGTAATAAAATAGTACAGGACTTGGGGCAATTGCAACACTCAAAAATGCAAAAATGCTCAACCCCCAACCAACTCCAACGTTGTCCAAAATGCTTGGCGTGATTAGAGGTACAATTCCTCCGAAAATACTTCTAAAAAATGCTCCGGCTGCAATGGCACTTGCCGCATATTTCTCGAAACTATCGATGTAATAATTCTGTACGGTATTAAAGATAGCGACCTGTCCAATGCCATAAAAGAAAGTAGCGATGAGTGTGAATGCCCAGTGCGCGCGGTACTCTACCATCCAGGCAAATGAAAATAATGTGATGGGAATTAGAACCGCGCCGATATTTGCAAGGGGAAGACGAAATTCGGGTTTTGCCTCGCCCTTGTTTTGGTGTGTAAGGTGATTCCGGATATCGTCGATTCTCGGAACGAGGAATCTTACCGCCGTAAGAAACCCAAGTCCTGGGGCAAGATATACAAGTCCTACTTTAACAGTGCTAAAGCCGTATCCATCGCCATAGATTCGTGAAAATTGGGTATAAAGACTATATGTTGTGGCGAAAATAAGAGCTTGATATGTTGACATAATCAAAACTATAGGTTGAGTGAACAGTATTTTTAGTGGTCTGTGAACTGCTTGAATAGCTTTTGACGAGAATGGTCTCAAATCCTCTCCTTCGAAATAATACTTGACGTCTGAGCGCTCTTCAAGTTCTTTCTTTCGATGAGTAAGAAGAATAGGGACGTAAGTTTCGTGCAGGAAAAAGTATACACCAGCGAAAACAACACCACATATCATTAACAGGATCCAGAATAGCCATGGCCATTTAAGATTTTGTAGAATCACACCGCCAAGGAGAGGCCCTATTGTCGGTCCTAGAAGTGGTCCCAGGAGATACCATCCGAAAACACCTGCTCGTTCACTCGGCAAATACATGTCAGAGATTGTTCCACCTCCATTGGCAATGGAAACGCCTGTATGAAGTCAGTGATGCTCTATTTATATAGAGTTAAAGTAATATTACTTCCAAAGAATCCAGCGATGGAGCGAAACGCGATGAGGGTAGCGATATTTGGACTTAGTGCAGTTGGAATCTGGAGCAACGTAAAGATGCCAAAGCAGACTAAGTAAACGGGCTTTCGACCGAAAGTTTCAGACAAAGGAGCAAGCAAAAGACTATCGTGCCAACATGTCAGTACGACATAGATATTGAACTTTTGATGGATATTCCTACGGTCCAATCCCAAGCATGATAACGAAGCCGGTTTGACATGCGATTACAGCCTGGGCTGTTGTATCCAACGATTCCGCGATCTGATTAATACCGGGTGCAAACATACTACTTGCAAGTGGTGATAAAACTATCTAGTATTAGTGTCAAAGCGGAGTGAGGAATTATCAGACACCTACTAGCCATGGTAGCAATGACAGCGATGTTTCCCAGTTTCTTCCACTTCGACCAATTTCTCGGGTTTTCATCATCGTGCTCTGAGAATTCGAGTAACTGTAACAAATGTCAATCAACAGGTGTTGGGGTGCCAGGCCGATGGGGATGCTAACTTCTTTGTTGTCACCAGCCTCTTCATGTTGAATGAGTGGCGACCTCTCATGTGCAATTCCAGGCATGTTTCTGGGATGCATGTTGAAGTGTAGAGATTCAGAAAGTATAAAATGACCAATGCAGTAACAAAGCAAATGTTCAATAAGAATATATGAAAGAAAACGCTGGTTGCTTGATGAATAGAAAGGAAGAATGATAGTGAATGCGTAGAAAAACGATGTCGATTTGTCAATGACGTTGAGACACTAAATGCTACCCATACCCAGTAGTTCTGGTTCCAAGATTCAAAGGGAAAAGGAAAAGGAAAAGGAGACTCAAAGTTAAGGGACAAGCTGAATTAATGAGACATCATATTCTTCGCTGATGATTCAATCCGTGATACTTACTACCCTCGACTTCCATCTACCTACCTAGGTACTCAATCAGAATATATATGGTCTATATACTTATCTGACGGTTTGTTGTTTTTCTTGTCTCTGACTTCACTCCTTCAATCGTGCAATGCGTGCGGGGAATCCCTGTAGGTAGATAATCGTATAATCACGTGATTCTAATGGTTTTCGCGTTGCACAAACTTTAAAAACGCGTTAATGCCATGGGTTGTGGCGCGACGGTCGCTGCTGCCTTTCTTATCTCACATCACCGTATCATTCCATTCATTCAATACCGTTTCAAGACCGAATGAATTATTAATCGTGAACTATGGAAAGATGATCGCTATCTAATCATCTATCATCTCGAATTCCCACTGTGATCCAAGATGAAATTTCGAGGAAATAATTCATGTGGTTGACAAAAGTTCGCGACTCTGGCCATCAAGATGGGTAGTCGCCTAGAGAAGAATTCGGAATCCGTTCGAAAGCGCATCGAATCGCATACTTTCCAAAGCGAAGGGGGCGAAGAGTATGAAGGTTCAGAGTTTGGAGGCTTTTCGGATTATTTTAGGCGCAAAAGGATCAAATTACAAAATTTGGATGCAGAAGTCCGCTCTACATCGACTGCAAATCCAATTATCTTCCGTGGTATCGTGGCGCATGTCAACGGCTATACACAACCCTCCTTGAGTGACCTTCATCATCTGATAGTGTCTCACGGTGGTGGTTTTATGCAATACTTGGACGGAAAAACCGCAGTTACTCATATCATTGCATCGACTCTGACTCCCAAAAAAGCAATCGAGTTTAAGCGATATAGAATCGTGAAACCAGCTTGGGTGGTAGATAGTGTGAAGGCTGGAAAATGTCTTCCATGGGATTCTTATCGTGTTCTTGATGAGGGAATCGGTCAACAATTACTTGGATTTAGTGGTGGTAAAGTGGTTAATCAATCAGCAACCTCGCAGCGAGGATACCGCGATCAAACAAATGCAAGTTGGTACACCAGTCAGGTCAAAAATGTCGCCGAAGGTATTGATGACGATGATGGGCCTCAATTTCCGAGCTCTCAGGTACAAAAGATAATGCCGCATAATCCTGGCGCATTAACGCAATCACCTGCCGATCAAGCGGTTGAAAGCATCGAGGAAGTCGACCAAATACCGGTTTATGATCCTATAAGCTCAGGTGGAAGCTTTGAAGTTTCATCGTCCTTAGAAGAAGCCTTGAAGCACGCCGCCAATGTTACTACTCCTGCTCGAAAAGCTGCATTGAAGTCTATACAGATATCAAAGGATAACTTTCTTATGAAGAAATCTCCTTCAAATTCCCCTGACCTTCAAATCTCGTCAAGTCCAACAGCTGCAACTCCAACCAAATCAAAATTTCTCACACCTCGAAAAGAAGCGCACGATGTCGAGAGGTCTCATACACCTGAACTCGTACCTAATGAACCTAGATCGTTTCTAACCACCAGGAAGAGATCAAACGATGAAGAAATAACCAACTCTCCCAAAAAGGCAAAGATTGAAACTGCAGAGGAACATAACGCAAAATTGTTAGCAGACCCTCATATGCGAAAGTCAACGACTGCAAACCCGGACTTTATCAAGCAATACTATTCCGAATCTCGACTACATCATTTGTCTACCTGGAAGGCAGATCTTAAATCAAAATTTCAGCAGATGGCATCCGAGAAGTTGGCCTCACAGAAACAGACAACAAGGCGAAAACCTGGCTCCCGAAGATACGTTATGCATGTAGATTTCGATAGTTTCTTTTGTGCGGTATCTCTCAAAAGTGCACCTGAATTTGTCGACAAACCTGCAGTTGTTGCTCATGGCAGTGGAACGGGGTCTGAAATTGCTAGTTGCAACTATCCAGCTCGTGAATTTGGAATCAAAAACGGAATGTGGATGAAAAATGCCATTAAGCTATGTCCCAACATCAAGGTCCTACCGTATAATTTTCCAGCGTACGAGGACGCTAGTAAATTATTTTATGAGGCTATTTTAGATGTCGGCGGTGTAGTACAAAGTGTCAGTGTTGACGAAGCCCTGGTTGATGTCACTTCTTTGTGCTTAGCCGCAGGCGGCACTGATGGAGTCGGAATTCTAGATCGTAGTTGTGTTAGAAGAGAACAAGAAAGAGCTGATGAGATTGGGAATAGACTTCGAGAGGTTATCAAAGAGAAGACAGGTTGCAATGTATCTGTTGGAATTGGAGGAAATATTTTACTAGCGAAAGTTGCACTTCGGAAGGCTAAACCAGCTGGTCAGCATCAAATAAAACCAGAAGAGGTTTTGGATTTCATCGGCGAACTTGATGTTAAGAATCTTCCCGGCGTTGCCTGCAGTATTGGGGGAAAGCTCGAAGAGATTGGAGTTCAATTTGTGAAAGACGTCCGACAGTTATCCAAAGATCGTCTGGTGACTGTTTTGGGTCCCAAAACCGGGGAAAAGATATGGGACTATTCAAGAGGTATTGATAAATTGGAAGTTGGAGAGCAAGTTGTACGAAAGTCTGTCTCGGCAGAGGTGAATTGGGGTATTAGGTTCACTTCACAGACAGAAGCTGAAGAATTTGTTCAGAATCTCTGCATTGAATTACAGCGTCGATTGATCGAGCAGAGAGTCAAGGGGAAGCAAATGACTTTGAAAATCATGAGAAAATCTGCCGATGCACCCCTTGATCCACCGAAATTCCTTGGTCATGGAAGTTGTGATACTTTTAACAAGAGCATAGTCCTTGGTGTGGCTACTAATGATGCTCTAATAATTGGACGAGAAGCAATCTCGATTCTCAGAAGTTATGGCTTCTCCCCCGGAGAGCTACGGGGCCTTGGTGTTCAAATGACCAAGCTTGAGCCTGTGAAGTTTTCTAACGGTTCTTTACTTGATGGCAGTCAAAGAAGGATTAATTTTGGTGCCCCTGTGGCATCAAAGTCCAGTAATAAAGCTACCGAGGACCCTATTGTTGATGAACCAGAGACTCCAACGAAGCAGAGGATAATTCCATATGCACAATCTACAAAACGACTTTCTGAAGACATCGTCGATTTCGCAACGCCAAAGAAGCCTAAGTCTATCACAAAATCAATACATTCCGAGGACCCTATTGATGAAAGTAGTCCTTTGAAAGCCAGACCAACTCCAGCTCATCCCGCAACTTTCATTGCAAGAACAAATGCTGGTGATCAAAGTGCCAGAAAGCTCAACTTGACTGGAACTCAATTTATTATACCAAGTCAAGTCGATCCCGAAGTCTTGAAAGAACTCCCTCTCGATATTAGATCAAAACTAATGGCTCAAAGTAAGAGCTTGCCGGCCTCGAGAGAACACACTCCTATCATACCAGTGAAAGATTCTTTGTCTGAGAGTCCTGTCAAACCCAGAATCTCGTCTTATATGCCTTCACAGCTTGATCCCGAAGTATTCGATGCCTTGCCTGAAGAAATGAAAGCAGAATTATTAGAAAGCTACAAGCCACAGATTCCAAATCCTGTACCGGGGGTACAGACAATTCTCCCACAGTCACCCCGCAAAAACAGAACAATAACTGGTAAAAAGCCGCCAACTCCTATCAAGAAACGAGGCCGCGGTAGACCTCCCGGGCCTAGGATAAAGCCTGAACCCCCAGGTGGTCCACTTCAATCGAAATTTGTCGCCAACCCTCCCAGACGAGAAGCCTCAATTGATGCTGGCGATGATACAGATGTTCTCGATCCAGAATTCCTCGCTGCATTACCCGAAGATATGCGCGAAGAAATAATAGCCGAACATCGACGGAAACGCCTACAAAAACGCGGTGGACTCATGACAGCCACAGTCAAGAAAGTAAAGAAGCCAGATCCAGCTCCACTAGGACCGCGAAGGATCCGTCTACCCCCCAAACTGCCAAAGCCCACTTTCACAACGCAGGAATTGAGTACACTAGAAGAACTTAGAGAGACGCTTACAATCTGGTACCGCGAATTCGAAAGTGAAGGTCCACATCCAGATGATGTCTCTGCGATAGATAGATATTTAAGAAGAGTTATTTTAGAAGAGAGGAATTTAGCAAAAGTGGTAGGCGTTGTAAAATGGTTGGGATGGTTAATAGATGATAGCGAAGTTGTAGGAAAAGGGAAACGACAGTGGGAAAAAGCTTACGTGGATGTATATTGCAAGATTCAAGAGGCTGTTAAGGAGAGAGGGTTGGGTAGACTTGATTTCTAGTGTATTTATGTCTAGATCACTAACTAGCTTGTCGATCTCCTGATTTAATTCGCTGCTTAATGTCAAATTGAACTTGGAAATAGACTTCATAGCTTGAGATACGTGTCTTGAAGCTTGATTCCTTTATCACTTATCCAGATCTACAATAATTGTCCATGGTCCCCCTAATTCCGTACTAAATGGATCTCAATTGATTTCATAAAAACTAACGTGGTTTATCATCAAGTAGACTATATCATCAAATGGGCTATTATTTTTACATACAAAATTCGTCTATATATAATCATACACTTTCTTTATTTATTAATAGAATTTTCTAAAAATTGAAACTATGAATTTGAATTATATAAATAATATAAAAATCTAATTATTTATTGAAAATTCAAATTATTATAATAGTTATTATAGAAATATTTCTTTTATAATAAAAATCATAACAAATTCCATTTTTTTATATAAGACAATAGGAATTTTCATATAAATACTAGATTTATAAAAAGCTTTTTTTTCATTATTGTTTTTTTAAATAATAATTGATTATTAAAATAAAAATATTAAAAAAGCATTAATTTAGGTGTATTTTGAAGTGGCCTACTCGATGATATGGCCTACTCGATGATAAACCACGTTACTCATCATATAATTAAGTCTCTCGAATCTAAATTGCAAAGTCGAAGTTTAAGATTTTCAATCTACTCTTGACAATACATATATCTATCGTAATCATCAATCCATACTCACATACTAGTGAAAAATACTTCAGTTGAGGAATAAAAACACTTCTAGAAGTATATCGTTCTTCTTCAAAGTCGATAGCGGCAAACTTCTTCAATTCTGGACATGGCAAATGTTGAATTATGTATCATCGTCATTTGCGATATTAGCCTTATTTACCTAGTATCTATAATTCAGTGCAAAATACCACTCGATAGCCCTTCTAGTATCTACAATCCACATACTAAAAACCTCTAGGTCGAACTTTCTTCTTTCGTTTAAATAGGTGATTGCAAGTGTGGGGTGTATATAAATTTATCTCTCCTTTGGGAATTTTTCCTCCTCTCGTCTCAGTTCCTACGCTTGGAGTGTATTTTTATTTTTGAGGATTTGCGTTTGATTTTGATTGTGCTTGTTGGTGATGAGGATTGTGATGGGTTATTCTCTTTTTATTCTTGTTCTTGTCTGTGGGGTTAAGAGAGAGTGAAGGGGATGACATGTGGATTGATGGATCATCTCTCCGCCCCGATCCTGAACAACGAAACTGTAACTCTGACTACCTAAGTAGATATCTACATATTCAGTACCAGATACTTTCTCTTTATCATTCACTCCACACATCGATTTCTGTAAAAAGTTGGAGGATTCAAGTGGTTGGTAAGAGTTTCTGTGAGTTTTTGTTTGCTCTTCTTCTGTGGTCTTCTAATTAATGTATACTTAGGATGAGATACGATGAGATACGCTATGCTACTAGCAGAACATGTTTAGAGCTTAGTCGTATCGAAATCGATATACTATTGCGTAACGGCTACGAATTGGTGCGGATGAATATACTAGAATATTAAAACAAGGAGTCGGTTTTTATTTTCGACTTTGCGGTATCAATATTGGGAAATCAGGAACAGGGAAGACCATTCGGAGGAAGTCTTTGAATATGTATGAAAGCTAACTTCGCATTTTAGTTTATGGATATCTCGATGCGAGGGATTATGTTTCGCATACCCTTAGGTCTTTTCATGTTTCTGGTTTGCATGTTGGAGATGTGAATAGAGAGGGGGGTTTCTAAGATAGATTTTCTTATTCAAATAGGTTTGTGCCCGTTTCATATCCTTTTCTTATATATCTTCAAATCACGAGTGTGGAAAAATATGCTATTCAATCTTGAAAATGTCACAATAAATGAGTCATTCAAATCTATGTTGGAAATAAGTCACGTCGACAGAACCTGTGGTGGTCTCTATAATCCCTGTCTTTCACGAAGACGGAATATAGAGAGAGTGAGTCGTGACTTCTTCTGAGATATTGGACTTTTATTCATTTGTTATATGATGTTATTTCACAACTATAAAACCTCCGAAAGCGCGTGAAAGTACACACTACACTTTCACAGATTGAAGCGAGTCGTCGGAGAGATCTATGAAGAAACCAAGTCACTTTAACAAAACTCCTTGTGATCTACATCATTCCCTCTTCTACGAAGCAGGAATAGAATAGAGACAGCCATAAGTGGCAATATCTGAGATTACCATTACATCTACATACTTTTGGTTGTCCGTTTTCGTTTCCATGTTTGTTCATCCCCTATACGTGCGAGTGTGAAAGAATACACTGTTGCACACACTATCAGCAGCAGCAGCGATTCCTTCAAACCCGTGAATGAGTACAAGATCTATGATGAGAACAAGTCACTTCTAAGAAAATTAGGTTATCGCTCTTAACAGGTCTTCTGGAAAGTAGATTTAAGGGGAGGGGATGAGTGATTGGTCCTGAGATGTTTTTCTTTTCTATGTCTAGAAGGGATGCATTGCTGTTTGCCTGGTTTTGTTTACGAGATCTCTGGTTCTTTTCTAGAGTGGAGATCATTTCTTCTCTAGAGAGCTCGTTTTATTTCTCTATTACTTCCTAAATCCTCTTGAAGTAGGATGACACATAAAGAGAATGGGGCTTTTATCAATATTATCCTTCTCGCGATGCTTTGCTCGAATTACTTGCTTATTATCATTCCACCTGTACTGACTAAATAGCAGGATTGAACTCATCTTACGCTCTAATACGAATGAGAATAATGTCGCACTGTAAGATTCAAGACCTTGCCTCTGCATTGGAAATCAACAAGAAAGGCGACACAATGTCGAAGATGACATAGGACCACCTAGTAAAAACTTATCATTCTACTTGTGACTTACATCCGGGTTATAAAATCAGATGCTGTGTAAAACCAAGATATAAGTGGTGTTTCTTAGGTATGATTTCTCCCTCCATGAATCTGGATTCTCACATAGTATATTCTAGAGGATAGAGCTATCTGTCAACTCCATATTATCTACACCATTCCGGGTATGTAACATGAGTGGTCCATTCTCTTTCATAGGAACATGAAGAGAAGATCAATGATATCAACGAGTCATACCGAGAGCATCTATACGATATCCTCCACAACATGAGATGTAAAAATACGAGGCGGTTTTGAAGGAACTCGAATCCTTGAGGATAATATGAGTTCTGCTGAGATGTCTTTATGCACTTTATTTCGCTTGTTATTTCTGGCGATTAAGAGGTAACAGCATGCTGAAAACTCCTTAACTTCTTGGCCGTTGAGATCCGTGGCCGATATGAGTGTATTGTTGAAGTATTTCTGTAATCTACAGCGTTATAATGTATCATTAACGCAAACCAGGGACTTTGAGATTCTAACCGATGTTCATTTCTGATCTTAACTAGATGTCGAAGTGAGAGAGGAAAAATTTGATTTCGGAAAGAAGGTCGTTTAAGTAAAGTTATGTGTATTGGTAATACATCATAACGAATACAACCGAAACAGCGAGGCGTTGAATTCAATACATCGGATCGAGACCAAAACAATAATAATCATACCGAGACGTATATAATATACTCGAGTACTCCTGACGTCAACATAGTATCATGTACTAAAGTTAAATCGTAATACAAACCTCCAATCTAAAAGCCCAACTCCATGATAAAAACAACGCCAATACTTCACCCGTTCAAAACACATAACATATCAACAATTCCACCCAATCGCTCTTCAACCCCATCCCAAAGCAGCAAAATCCAGGGGAAGACAATCACAGCCAGCTTAATAAAATCCACGAATTCCCTGCTGCATATCCCAAAATACTTCCACGCATCGCGCATTGTGGGAATTGCAAAGACATATGGTCGGTCGTACGCTCGGATTCTCTGTGCTCATATGGCGTCTTCGTATTCAGGGACCAAGAGATTTGTCTCCGTGATTAGGTCCTACAGCATGGAGCTAGGGATTGTTGGTATATACGTCTGAGCTACTTAGAAAAATTATTTGTTACGCCTCACTCGGATTAGAAGAATTGGGAGATATATGAAAATTCTTCGAAAATGTGATATCTCTATTCAATTCACAAGAATCTTACAGCATCACCATCACCATCACCATCACCATCACCATATCCAAACTTATTACCTACCCCTCCTGTCATCTATCCCTGAAAACCTAGAATCGTCGCCATCAAACCCCACTATCGATAAGCCCAAGCCCTCACTTAAACCCCCCCAACCCGCATAAAGTTTAAATCAAGCACCCAGCCGTCGATCTCCCGCGCTGAATAAAAAGTCTCGGCCACACTTTCCATATTCTAGCTTGCCATGCCAGAAAATTTAGTCGGGATGGGAAAGTTTAAGAATAGCTGTGCTGTGATTGATTTTGGTTCATTTAGTATTTTTTTTCTTTCTTCTGGTTTGCTGTAGATTTCGTTGAGTATTTTTCTTCTGATATCATATCATTGACTCTGCTTTGCTTCGAGTTATCGTTGCTGTCCGTTCGCTTTGGGGATATTATTGTGTCATTTCGTGTATTCTTACATCCATATATACACCTTACCAAAAAAAAAAGGGAAGAAAAGAAGGCAATCATTCAAACCAACATCACCAGCAATATGACCCCACCACTATCCCTCCTCTCCCTCCTCCTCTCATTCCTCACCCTCACCACCCTCACCCTCGCCCAAACATCCACAACCCCTACATCTTCAACCTCCACAACTATAGCAACCATCGTCCCCAGCGCATCCTCATACACCTATCTCGGCTGCTACAACGAAACCCTCAACACGAATACCACCGGGGGACTACGATCTCTCAATGGTGGCGTCACGGAAGCGCTCGATGTGATGACGGTACCGCTTTGTATGGCATTTTGCAAATCCAACGGGTATGCGTATGCGGGGATTGAATATACGAGGTCTGTTTGCTATTTCCCATTTGTGATTTTCTTCGCGACTCAAATCTCAGAATCCTCATTGGAGACGAATCACAAAACACAAGACACAAAACACATCACAAAACAGAAACTAACACCTCCTACAGAGAATGCTACTGCGCGCAATATCTCTCCGCCCTAGCCCCCAAAGTCGACGACGCAAAATGCGATCTCCCATGTACAGGAAACGCGAGCCAGATATGTGGCGGATCGTGGACGCTGTCGGTGTATTTGCAGGATGGGAGTCAGAAGGGGGATGCAGGGAAGGGGAGGGGGGCGAGTGCGGGGAAACAGACGTTGATGGCGTTGGGGGTTGCGTTTGGAGGATTGTTGGCTTTGTGTTAGGATGGAACGGGGTAGAGATGAGAGGGAGGGAATGGAAGGAAAGGAAAGGAAAGTAATGGAATTTGGGGTAGATGGGGTATGGACTATGGAGTTCGGTAACTAATCAGTGATTGGAATTACAAGCGAGCCGAGATCGGTAATTGAGGAAAGGAGATTGGACGACAGTCAGTCACTTGGTAACGCGACAATCACGCTTCGAGAGGTCCGGTTGGACTATGTGCGATTTTCCCAACGCGACAGCTCAGATATGACATCAGCACTATCAATGACATATCGAGTTGTTATGCACCGTTCTTTTCGATATTTGTATGAATCTTGCTTTGATTCACACTCAAATGTGGAATTAGAAGAATGATGCTTTGGTGAGTCATAGTTGATTGAGTTTGATATTGATTCTGTGCAAAATTCTGCGTGATCATGTCTCATTTGTGCTTCAGATGGAGCAGAATGTGATCGAGGCTCGCTGGTCGTGTGTGCAGAGTGTGCGAGTATTGCAGGAGCTTTTAACCAATGGAATTGATGAGTTAATAGTCCCCTGTTAAGCACATCTATCTCCATGACGATGGCAAAAAATTTTTACAGCTATAATCGCTTCAGTGATCTGATTTATTCAGGGGAAACGACAAACCGGCAGGTCTTTTTTGTTGTGGGAATTATTATGTATGAAGGGCGCGAAACGAACTATGGATTTATGGCTCGTCAATCTATAATATAGAGTCCTGACGTAGGTTCAGCTTGTAGATTCAGGTTGTCTAACCGATACCGTATCACAATCCAGAAGAATCGCAAATCATACATGTCAACCTCCACCAATAGTTAATTATCAACACTCCACATACACATAATTAACATCCGCCACTCTTTCACCTCATCCCTTCCCATCCTATCAAAGAACTTTCACTCTAATTCCCGTCCCCGGTTTGGGAACATTAATAAGATATTCCGACCAAATCTCCACCGCTTCCTGGTTCGTTTCCCACAACTCAAACTCGCATCTCCGGACAAAACTCGCAAGCGCAATATATAGCTCCGCATAAGCTAGATTCATTCCTAAGCATTGTCTACTACCTTTCGAAAAGCTGACGAGATATTTTGTTAGAGGCTTTTCTTCTCCTGAAGGGATTGTGACTTTGGGTGGTAGTCCGGTGATTGGATCTGGGAGCCATCTTTCGGGGATGAAAGAATGAGAGGATGGGAAGAGTGCTTCGTTGTAATGGATGATTGGTGTAGCACAGGATATTGGAGTACCGGCGGGAATTGTGTACGTGTGTCCTGTTGCTGGGTCTGTATATGGGAGGGGTTTGTATGCGAATCGTGGAAGGTGTTGAACTGGTCCCATAGAAAGACGAATTGCTATTCAAACCAATTGTGTCAGAAGTTACGCGCGGTGTACATCGGAGTCGGTATTTACAATACCTTCTTGGCAGACTGCAATTAAATAGGGCAGTTTTTCAAGGGTCGTTAGTGAAGGTGGAGAGGAGGGATCTGGAAAGACTTCAAGTATTTCAACTCTTAGTTTGGAGAGAAGTTCTGGTTTGTCAAGGAGATGGAACATTGCGACTGCTAGCGTCCACTTTGTCGTTTCAACACCGGCACCGACCACTACTTGTGCTTCTTGATGAAGCCTCTGCTCTGATTTCTCCTCAGGAGGAAGATTGGATTCTATGATCTCGTGAAATATGTTTGGCCGTGAGGCATCGTTCTTCTCCTTGGTTCCATACATAACTGCCCTCAATTCATGTCTAAGATCCTATGCAAATATCAGTATCAATATATTCTTAGAAGGATTACATTAATAACCTCGAGCCACTCCAAAACAGGCATTGATTTTTGAGGCACAATCTTCCTCAGCACGCTGTATGGTAAAGCAAGCACCATGTTCATCAACCATGCTATACTCGGAAAGTGCTCTGTCCAGTGCACTATAGATAGCATACCGGCGACAGCCACCATAAAATCCGAGGTAAACTCTCCTTTTTCGCAAAAATTGTAGTTAGTACCAAAACTACATTCCATCACCACATCTGTTGTATAACAAGAAAAAACATCTCCAAGATCAAGAATCTTATTGGTTCCTTTGTATTCGGTATTAATACGATTGACCAAAGTGTCGACACGGGTTTGTATGAATGGAACAAATTTTTGAATGTTAGGTTTAGAGAAAAAAGGATTGAGCGCGGCACGTCGTTTTCGATGAAGGAAGTGATCTAGGGTGGATTGACCAGATAACGGGACGGTAGGAAGGGAGGAATGAAGAGGCAGCTTGTCGCGTCTATCGGTAGTATATATTGTATCATAGAACTCAGGATCACTGATATGGAGCTCTGTAGGATTGATACGAACAATTGGGCCTTGCAATTATTAGTATAGGAAGGAGATTGGGTCTTAAGACGAACCATATTTTTCATGCCATTCCGGAAGTTTTCGAAAGAACTGTCCACCTTTCACAAGCTGATAGTAAATTTCATACCATTCAGTCGCAGCTGTCAACTTTGGACCAGGAAATTTAGCCAAAGGACTAAAATATAGTCTATATGTGACCAAAGTGAATGTGTATATAGCAATGGCGTACACACATATCAATGGGTTGACTTGAGACAGCAGACCAGATAAAACAGTGACGACTTTCATTTTGGCCAATGTAGCATTGTACTGAAAGATGAAAAGCAGGTAATTATTTTGCACAGGGGATGAGGATATAAAGAGCAGTCATTTACATCCCCACAATCTTAGATCCCCTCCTAGACATATCACCAACCAATGAAAACTCCCCATAAAGCGGAAATCCCGTCAGTACACTACATGACTTCATGCACAGCTACGAATCGAAAGATCGACAACAATGTGTAACACTATTGTTTATAAGCAAGTTGCGTTGTTCAGCTCTTGTAATCGCATTTCTGCACACTCGAATTGGCTGCATGCTCAATCATTCCAATGAGCATCCAGTATTTGTGTGGTTCTTACCGAAACATGCAACGGATACCACTTTTCGATCTACAATCATGAATTTTAGTGAGATCTCGAACATATCGAAGATTTTAGAAGGGAAGTGTACACGGCTGATGATTGTACAATGGCATCTGTGGATTCATCTCGTCCCATGATTGTGCTTCTGTTCGTCACTCACTCACTCGAGTTGAGTATCTGAGGAAAAAATTATGTTTTGCTACGCTTTCACGTGACTCTTGACAATAATCCTGTCATTGATTGTGCCGAGCGATTGGCGTTAGTGGAAGCGAAGGAAGCAACGGTCGTCATCGAAGTATTACATTCAATGTAGAAAGAACTACACATCTAAATAACGTTATTAATTTCTCCCATTGATGTGTCATTTACAATGATTCATTTACGTTACGTGAGATCCTTTCTTTCAAACAATTACACAAATTTGAAATCTAACTTAATACAGACGATCAATCCTCAATCTGCTTCAATCATCTAAGGCTACCCAACAATTCCATCGCTACAAGCTGTCATAATCGATAATTTCTCTTAGAAGAGTCGCTGCAGAATCTGACGTGAGCCTGGTCATTCTAAGCCAGTTTTCGAAGACATGTCATCAAAAGAGGAAGTTGAATCAGCGGAATATGACATTAATAGCATGGTCCCACAAAGACGTAAGCGTTTTCTCACAGAACTACCACCGGAAATAATTGATCGAATCCTATCACTTCTTGTAAGAATTGGCGATCGAGTGCGGATTGGAAAAACTTCGAGAATTATGTACAAACACTCTATGCCGCTTATATATGAGTCTTGGAGCTTTGACAAGTACAAGCACCCGGGATACTGTCTATGGTGTTTTCTTCGAACTGCTATAGAATTTCCACAGTCTGTTTCTTCGGTGAAAACATTGGATCTCCGTGAATCAGAACCACCAGCCCCCGGTAAGAAAAGCTGGGATACAGACCTTCGATCCGTCGTTTCAGCTGAGCAGTTTGAGGTGTGGGAAAAGAGCCAGAGAGATGATTTGAATGTCTTCAAGAATTCTAGAATACGGCCCTGGGTTTTGAAGTATTTAGATAATTGGACAAATGGCCTGTCTGAGTATATTTTGCTTTTTCGCTGGGCCACAGGTGCATCACTAGTTGAATCACATGGGTTCGAGAATTTTGCTCTAGTGGTTTTGAATCTCATAATACAGCGTCTCCCCAATATCGAAATACTTCATATTACATCGTTGAGTCGAGCTTATGAGTTGGGTGCGCAAGATGGACTTCCGCTTTCAGCTCATTATCTCCAAAACCTTCGAACGGTATATATTTCCCGAGGCTCGCTCAAGTTACCACATTCATGTTTTCCAGGCTCATCGTTACTTTTGAGGTTTTGGGATCTGCCAAGAATGAGATCCGTTTACACATCAGGTCTTATAAGTGTCGCATTCGACGAACAGAGGTGGGACAAAAGAAGTCCGGATGAATCACAGTCAGTGGCAGAATTAGTCCTGTATTCTGCGATTACTGATTTGTCACTTGTTCGCTGTAATGTATCAGCCTGTAGGGTTTTTCAAATTGTTTCGACTTTGCAGGAGCTTGTGAGATTTAGATGGACATACAAATTTCCCTCGAGCCTATCAAACGAGGATGAACGACTGGATTTGGGGAGCAAAATTATTCGGAAAATACTGGACCCATATAAAGGCAGTTTGAAAGAACTTGATCTACGATTTGTCGAGGGCATTTCTGATAGACCTCTTCCAAAACCGGGCGTGCAATCAAAGGCAAAGGAGAAACCATTGTTTCTGGGTGACTTTTCAGATTTTCAAGTAATGACATCGCTTACAATCGATCCGATTGTACTAACTGGCCGATCGCTAGGGGACCCAATTGAACACCACATGGAAGATTTACTTCCACAATCGTTGACATATCTAGCACTAGTATGTGAATTGTCACATACCAAAGAATTGTACCCAGGTCCCACCTCCATTCGAAAGCAGACTTGGTCAGACGAAGTCACGAGTTTTGCAAACACATTACCCGCATCAATGAGATTTCTTACAGAAGTTCAATTGATTGCGCCTAGCCCGTCGCCTAGCCCGTCGCCTGGCACGTCGCTCGGTTGGAATGGTTCTACAGTAGAACGGGATGAGCTCTTGGAGCCTGTCAAGCGACTTTTTCAGGAGAAAGGAGTCATCTGTTCAATCACGAACGTTTTTCCCGAGGATGAGTTTTCGGATTTCAGGACTATTTCTGAAGATAACTAGGATTGCAGTTTGACAATTAGATTGTCCGATGTCCATACCAGAATGGGCTATTTATATTGTTGGATTGGTATTGACTATTAAATTTTTTCCATTGATTCTGAATAGTACTATTAGACACCGTAAAACAGATCACCGAAGACGCCAATTCTAGAGGCGAAACAAAGATAGAGGGACAAGTTTCTATGCAGCAACGGGAACAAGAACATAAAAAAATGCTGGCTATACATATCAGAGATCGTTGGATCACCGACAACGAGACCGAGGATGTAATCGAGAGAGGCCACGACTCATTGGTATTCTCTTGGGAAAAGGTTTAATGCAGGTAATTAGATCATTAGCTTTCCTTTACTTCCAAAAGTATAATGTAATAGTATAAATAAATTCATGATCCAATGAGTCTATCTTGAATGTGATATAACACGATAGACTCGGGCTTTTCCCCTTGTATCCTCTCACAGAAACTCCTGTTTTGGAGCTCTGAATGCGTTAATTAAAACCCTGAAAGCTTTTTGTCGTATCAAAACCTAGTAACCGAGTAGTGGTGAACTGAGCGTCAGCTCTTCAAGCGGCCGACTAGTTCCTTGAACTTTGTATCTCACAAGTTGTATCATACACCAGCAGCAGTCGTTCCATATCCAGGAGCTGCGTTTCAATGCTTCTAGTTTGATGTTATGGCTTACTATTCATGCGCTTGTGTATTTGACATATATTCTCATATCGATAGCAACATAGAAGAGAGAATTGATAATCTCCAACAAATCGGATTTTCATATACACGATGATTTTTATCAAGACCATCATATTTGAGCTCAAGGGTATATACATATGTAAACAAGCTGATCATAAAGATCTACCTCTGCACGAGTAGATATGTTCATTCCTTCACTCCCCAGCTACCCACAATTGCCATGGCTTCTTCATCACCATTCTCCACTCTACCATCATCTAGTACACCCGCCAAGCATTTCCAAGGATCTCTTCCTCCACCCCACTTCAGAACTTCTTCTTTCATCTTCTCGCCATTATCTCTGTGGATGCTACCGCCTGCTTCTCCGTCCTTGAATACCACTTGCCAGATTCTTCTTGCGAGAACTCGGTCAAAGAGATAGCTATAGTACGTGCTACCGTATCCGAAGAGATGTCCGAAGAAACCCTGCCAGCATGTTCCGGGGGGATCAACTGGGAGGGCACCATGTTTTTCCTGGAGAGAGTGATATATTTCTGTCGAGTTGAAGGATGGAGATAGTGGGAGGTCAGAATGATATGCTAAATCGAGCATTGAAAGGATAATCTGATTTTCGGTATCAGAACCTTCGAAACGTTTATCTAATGCTAGTTTCTCGGCCACCATTTCATATGGGAGTGGTTGATCGGTTTCATAATGACGTGCGAATAAAGAAAGAACAGATGGGTCTGCTGCAAAATGTTCCATGAGGACTGAAGGCAACTCTGCAAAGTCGGTCGCACAACGAGTTCCTGAGACATTTTGAAGAGATGTTCGCCCGAGAATGGAATGTATGGCATGGCCCATTTCGTGGAAGAGAGTTTGCACCTCGTTGAAACTGAGAAGGGCAGGGCGGGAAGACTTTCCAGACATTGTGACGAAATCGCAAATGAGGGCTATGGTTGGCAATTGCTTGAGGACTCCCGAAGCTCTTGAAGTGGCCATGCCATCATTAGCAGCTTCTTCATCAGTTTTGAACAGCTTATTTTGAGAAAATGACGAAGCTTCTTCGAGTTCAGGCGTTGTGATCTCTCGAGAACAGCGAAGGGTGAAGTGCGCAGGATTTGGGGACTTTCCAGGACGGGAAAACAGATCACAGTAAAGTACAGCAACGTGACCATCGGTTTCAGAGATCACATCTAGTCTTCGAACATCTGCGTTCCATGTTTCTCCTGGCATTGTCTCATGAGGAGCAAGTCTCACACCGTAGAGGCGTGTGAATAGCCTGGAGAGTCCCTGCATGACTGTACCAAGCGAGAAATATGCTGAAAGAAAATCAGAATTGCGAGAGTGCGAACGCACTGAAGCCAAAATTTGTGACATATAATAATCTTTATCCCATGGCTGTAGACCTGGAGAAGATCCATGCGAGTTCGACAGCTTAAACTTGAGGAGCTCGGAAACTTCTCCTTTTACAATCTGATTGTTATCCTTCGCCAGTGCTTCCAAGAATTGTGATACAGATGCTGGACTTTTGGCCATTTTGTCTCCTAGGGCTAGGTGAGAATAACTTTCGTACCTAGAAAGTTTAGCCAGTTCTGCTCTTTTACGCATGAGCTCCTCCAGTTTATATACTGTATTTCTTGAAGCTGTGCGAGTAGCCATGAATATCTCTTTTCTGACTTCTTCATTCTGAACTGATCTAATAGCTGCAGCTGCAGCACCACCAATGGTTGGAATTTTAGTCTGTCCCCATGTCGTGTATTGTCTCACCAGCACTGGATCCATTCCTTTTAACTTACTACTTTCAAAAGTCAAGTAAGATTTTGAGGGTGTCATGTAATCGACAAATTCAGGACCAATTTCACTGATTTGTTGCGAGAGAGCTACAAACCTTTCTCGCTGGGCACGAGGTAGATCAATGGCTGACTTTGCAAAGTCTTTCCTTAAAATATCTGCAACTACCACTTCTTCCTCCGTCCATCCTGCTACAATCTCTGGTGTTCCCATGGCGATCTCAAGTTGCTTATCCAGCCCAGTAGTTGTATTCAAAACATTCATGTATTCAAACATTTTTGCGTAGGCTCTGGATGCAGCTGCTTGTATGGCTGCATTCGGATGTGTAGCTCGAACAAAATCCGACAAATCGATGACCCGGCACAGCAGGTCACTGAGACGATCTAGGTCTCTAGCAACATATCTGTATTCCTCAACTGTCGAAGCCTTCAAAACTTTGTCCACAATTCTTTGTGCCTTTCGCAGACTCGTGTTTGCAAAAACTTCGAATCCTTGGGGGTTGACAAGGTAGCAATTCTGAAAAAGTCCAACAGCCGGTCTATTGTAACTTTGTTTCGATGATTGAGAGAATTCTGCCCAGAAATTCGGAGAGTCAAAGATCAGCCGCAAAGTTCTATCATCATGCTTTGCGCCTGGGGCAGAGTTGTCTACAGGTACAGGTCGAGATACGCGATATTGTGTAGAAGCTGTCGCAAGTCTTCGACGTGATTGGATTTGTCTCCTAACGCACCGAGAACAAACCCACGGCCTGGGCGTAGTGGCTTTCAACATACTCCACGGCACGTTCGTCCGAACTGTTAGTGGCACAAAAGTTGGTGATTTAAAAACAATAACATGGTAAAGTAACGCGGAGAATACTACTTGGGTACGTGGGTGGCTTCATAAATTATGCACATACATTGAATGAGAATAATTACGTCAGCATATTTGCATAAAAAATCACACGAATGGAACCTTGAAGTTTACGAAGCTTTAACGACCGCGGAACTCGATCCCAATATATACCAATTGTACGACCAAGTCAATTGAGCAATGGCTTCCAGAGTATTCCTGCGGCAGGTCAGTACAATCAAATACGCAAAATTATATTTAGCTAACAACTCAAAGCGCATTGCGCCTGTAGCAACTGGCGCAGCCTTAATCGGAATGGCTCTCTATCCTCAGAGACCATTACATGCCGAAGCCCCAGATGTACGCAGCAGCATTCAAACCCACTCACATCTCTGTCACTAACTATCGCATGATTTTAGGGAAGAAAACCCATCTATGATGACTACGAGGAGCTCCCTCCCACTTCCGCTCCAACTCTCCCATCATCCAAATCTCCAAGCCCCGCCTCGGAGGAAATATCAAGAAAACACACTGGTCCAACTCCTACCGACAGGCTCGCTGTACAAATAGGAAAGAGTCGATTATTTCTCTACGCACATGTCGTCGCTGCCGAAAACAAATTGAACTCCATGATGGACTCTGCCCTTAACCTTGAATCCAGTTTCACATCCACGATTGCTTCACTTGCACCATCCCAACAATCTGGGGAGAAGTTAATGCCTGGATCTATCTATGTTTTGGTTGCTGCTATGACTGGCTCGATTATATCACGAAACAGAAACATCGTACTGAGAGCTGCTGTACCATTCGCCGTCGGAATCGGAGCAGGATGGGTTGTTCTTCCAGTAACGATGAGAAATGTTGCCAATTTGGCATGGGAATATGAGAGAAGATTCCCAGTGATTGCGGACACACACATTAGGACAAGGGAGAGTATAGAGAACGCATGGAGAATGGCACGGGTGCATTCAAAGCAGGCAGTTTCAATAGTGGATGGCAAGGTCACCGAAGGAAGGGAAAAGGTAGAGGACTGGGTTAAGAAAGGAAGATAGAGGAGCCGTCTGTGGCTGTAGCATTGTTTCGGACTTGACGAAAGCAAAAGTACTGCTGACCTTGTACAAAATCCTTAATAAAAATTTGTTCTATTCTACAACCCGAATTCATTGAGTTTTGAGCTGCACTGCAACTTGATCGAGACTATCATTTTTGAGATGTCAGGTTTCTCCATCGATCTCCGTTCCACTTCTCACGTTTGCCTTCCTGATATTACTAGTATAAGATCGCAGTTGAGGTCATACATATTTGGCTATTTTTGTTCCAAGACTGCAATGTCGTCCAGGAAGCAACTCCAATGTTATGATATTATGGATGTCAAGCTCTGATTTCGCTTCGCTTCAATCTCGCTCATCGTTCAGGCGCCCCCTCGCCTTGGACGTTCAGTTTAGTTCCATACTTACTGTCGACTATGTCTTTTCCACACTTCGCTCTCGACATTCAATGAATTTTGCGTGATAAGGGTAGAGCATTGAGGGTGGAGCTCGCTTGCAATCAAGTACAAAAACTAAGTTCTTCAATTACTGAAATATATCATTGGTTCCTCTGTAGCAAAGATTACGATTTCTGGGTGCTTTTCCTGCAGAAAAGATCGGATTGTATCATCATTACAAGACTGTGTAGTAGATAATGCCATTCTAGAAGATATATAACATAAAGGGAGGAAGCATAAAGGAGGAGGATACCATAAGCCCTCACACCTTGGCAAATAACTTGATGTAATCTACAGTCAGATCTGGCTGAGAAATGATCTAGAGTGCAGGATGAAGAGAAGATCGTAGAAGGATTTCATAGATGAGGTGTTGGTATACGAACTTCTTTCTTCTCGGAACTCAAATCTATTTGTTGCTACGAAGGGCAGGCTCAAGGGGGACAAGCTTACATAATGCTTACACGTGACTTTGTCGGTACCCCGCCAAATTTATCCCCCGCCGAAGATGAGTCAAAGTATCCCGTTCTTGAGTTTCGCGTCTATTTGCTTTCAACAATTTATCAACAATTTATTTTCAACAACATCACAACATGACTTCCGACATGAGTCCAGAGGAATCAATTGCTCTGATCAAGGCAAATCTTGCCGAAGTTCTCGACGGAGATATTATCGACAATGTCATCCTCAAGGAGAAGCGTCCTCTCAAAGTTTACTGGGGAACTGCAACGACTGGCAGACCTCATTGTGGATACTTCGTACCAATGATCAAGATAGCAGAGTTACTGAGGGCGGGCTGTAATGTGAAGGTTCTACTCGCGGATATCCACGGTTACCTGGACAATATGAAAGCACCTCTCGAACTTGTCGAATACCGTGCCAAGTACTACGAACGAGTAATCAAATCAGCTTTGAGAGCGGTTGGCGTTGATTTGAGTCGTCTGGAATTTGTGCTAGGAAGCTCTTACCAACTTGACAAGCAATATACAATGGACCGATTTAAGTTGGAAGGTATCACCAGAATTAACGTTGCCCAAAAGGCTGGTGCCGAAGTCGTTAAGCAAACGGATGATCCAACACTTGGTGGTTTAATTTACCCTCTCATGCAGGCTCTGGACGAACAATATCTCGACGTTGATGCACAATTCGGTGGTGTTGACCAAAGGAAAATCTTCACCTTCGCGAAGGAAAATCTGCCAAAGATTAATTACAAAGTCAGAGCACATTTAATGAACACAATGGTTCCTGGTCTAGGAGAGGCTGCGAAGATGAGCTCCAGTGATGCGGACTCGAAGATCGACCTGATCGATGGCCCAGAGGCTGTTGAGAAGAAATTGAAGAAGGCTAAGTGCACGCCAAAGGAAGTGGAAGGTAATGGTGTCATCGCTTTCGTCGAACATGTTATTTTCCGCGCTCTCGCTTTAAAGAACGGAGGCACTTCAAGATTTGTCGTCGAGAGAAGAGACCAGGAGCCGTTGATCTACGAGTCTGTGGAGAAGCTGAAGGAAGATTACATAGCAGATATTGTGAGTAGACTTGTGAGCACAGTTCTTGTTGGCCAATCACTAATATCAATGGCAGCTCACCCCTCAACTTATTAAACAAAGTCTCACCGCCCACCTTAACGATATTTTAAAGCCGATTAGAGAGGAATTCGAAGCATCTCCAGAATGGCAAGCAATCGAAGTGCAAGCTTATCCTCCAGAACAAGGTTTGTTTCAGTCTCTCTCTCGTATAGATAATTGAGCTAACTCTGCACCAGGTCCAGTCAAGGTCAAGAAGGCAAAGAAGGAAATTGATCCAGCAAGAAAAGCCGCGGCATTAGCAGCAAGGAAAAATGTCGTTGCACAGCCAGATGGACATGTTGAAGGAAAAGATGCCCAAAAACTCACTGTTGGGTCAAGCACGGAAGAAACATTGGAGAAATTGAAGATTGCTTCGGAGTCATAAATAGAATTACAATATACCCTCAAGCATTTGGTTGCTTCTGTAAGCACCTGTTCTTCTCATGAGTTCTTTTGTCTTTGTTCTAACTTTCGAAGCGTACTCTGACCCTTCCCCAATTCTGATATATACAGTATCCTACCGGCATGATGTCAAGGACTCAAGACTGTGTGGCAACACAACTTGCGCTCATTCTCCCGGGGCTTGGAACATCAATCTAACGAATAGTGTCTGCCATCCACAAAGCTCCGTGGAATTGTTACAAATGATCATCCTAAGCAGGACGTTAAGACCCACATGACACAAAATGTCCTAAACCTCGAATGCTCATCGGTTTCAAAAGTGCAGAAACTCTCCTCAGCTTATGTCTTCTCGCTCAAGGGTGTGCATTGACCGGACCCTTTGATCCTTTTCGTGTCTTCTTGTTTCATTTTATGACTTCATATACCTTGTTTAAATTCTTTCTGGCTTGATATTGCTTTAGCTATATACACAAGTGGAATTGTGATCTTTCACATTGTTGTACCTCTTTAAGATCACATGTTTTCCTCAATCCTATCTAATGTCCTCGTTCTTATGATTTCCCCTCAGACTCGACAGTCATTTTGCTTCCATTCTTCACTTGCATCACTGATTCCATCATCAGTTAACTAAAGCTTCCGAGACTTTCACGATCACCGGCTAATATACCCAGGCCGAGAAATTCCACGTAATCGCTTGTCTTGGCTACTGTTATTCGTCTTTCGGATTGGGCTGGTTCTGCCACTTTCTTTTCCCTGAAGCTCATGTTTATGCTAATCTCCAGATGTAGGCATTCTCTGCAATTTGTCGGCATTTATAGCGATTTCGACTTTGCCTAAGATAATTAGCCCATTCATCTTCCGATTTAAGACAACATGAAAAGAGAAAGTTCTTGGTGGCTCGTCTCTTCATGTAACAGCAATGAATTGAAAGTATAGAGAGCACACAGCTTCAATAACCAATGGCTACTCGCAAATCAACAGTCTATCTCGACAATCCTTGCCAAAATCTGCATTTAACCACAGATGTCCCAGCTGTAGCTTCTTCATCATGAGATACCTTGACATCTTTACAGTATGAGTATGGTTCCGCTTGCCATTCATGCTCTGGGACCTTCCACCGATATTCCCCACCAAGAGAACTTTCAAATAATACTGATGCTCTTGCTTGAAATACGTGGTGTACCGATCCACGATAGCGCGTTGAAATTTTTCAATAATTTGCTCGGCGACACAAGTATTCAGCGATGTTGTACAGTACAGAACGAAAGTGATTTGTCTCTCTCGTGTGGTTTTTCTCGAAGTATAAGCTACTTTCAGGTAACCCCTGTCTGCCTGTTTTTGTGTAATTTGATCGCACCAAGTGGTAGATCTTGCACCAAATAAAGATCTCTGATTATCTCTAAAATGCCATGTCAATAAAATCACCTTCAAGTTGCACTTCCTACATAGGAGCACCCACTCAAGCACCATCGTGTGACCTTAGCAGCCGTGGGTCTCTTCAAACCTTGAAGTCATTACGCTTTTCCCAATTGTTTCAAAGAAGAACATTCCAGGGCAGTTTCGAGGTCTACGATGACGTCTGACAGTCCAATGAACGAAGACACTGAGAACCATTGCGAGAATCAGGGCCCAAGGAACAAATCCTAACATTATGAGATTGGAATCTATTCCTAATCCAAAACCTATGGTGGTGGCCGTCAGAATGGCGAATGCAAGAATAAGCGACTGACATCTATCGTGCCCCTGGCGTCGATGCGTGAACGAAGAAATTGAACAACCAAGAAGAATACACGATACGAGTAATGATAATGCGTACGGATCCAGGATTACACCAAGACTTCCCGAGTTGAAGGTGTAGCCCGTAGGTTTAGTATTTGAGTTCATCTGCAGTTGGACATTAGCCGTGATCTAGGTCTGGATTTGGGATCGCGAACTCGTCCTTGCTCATGATAAAGAGTATATCTTGTAGTCACTGTTGCGGATATCATTGCAATCAATGGTTCGAAGATCGCTCCAAGGTCGCGGGCTGGATGGCGTGCAGAAATGTATTCAGTGAGTGATTGTTCGTCTGTTGGTCTTGTTTTCGACCCTCGAAATCCTCTAGAACGACATTTGAATGAGCGGTAGGACGTTTCACTTTCGATGTCATTCATAGCCATGATATCAGTGATTGTTCTGATTTACAATCCTTATAGCTTTCTGTTCAAAGGCGAATGATTTTGAACATCTTTATCTACTAAAGATTGAAAAGCGATACCCAAGTACAAATGTGACTGTGACCGGATCGTAACCTTAACACAGTAATTGGCGCCCATCGGGCGGAGGATCCTTGAAATATTCGAATCAAGAGTCTTATAAAAATATCCTAGTCATGGTGTATTTGACAAATGCGCTGACCGAAATGCCTGCAACTGGAGAGTGTTAACATTTGCCAACCATACGAGATATCCCGATTCCAAGCCATTAGGCTCCGAGGGGTACTGTAGGCATTCGACAAGGCTGATGCCCAACCTGCAGTCATCCGAAACTGGTCACCGAATCTTGATCGTCAGCCTATCAGTACGAATATCCACGATTCTCAGTAAGCGAGGCTGATTTTGTGAACCAAGATAAACCTTCAATCTCTGTTTCTTCACACCGAATACAAGTTCTAGTTCGATGCATTCATGCCTGAAGTCATCCTACCCCCACTCTGAGATGTTATGTCTATGGTCGAGTATTCAGAAATCGCGGGGAGATAAAAAGCTTCCCCAGATCCACTCTATCTACTTGCTCTTTCTTATTGTCCGATTTTCGATCTCAACTTTATGTAAAGAATTTAACCTGATTTACATTATTGAAACTTCTCATTTATTGTATACTTCAACCAACATCAAATCAATCATGGCTACCAAATTTAATCTACCTGTCGCATCGACGCAAGAGCGCAGACCCGTGCGACACGATATCAATGAAGACAAAAAGTCTGAGAAGCTTAGAACGATGTACTTGTACACTATGATGTTTCTCTCGATAGCTTCTCCTATTCTTTATGAATCCTCTCTCATTGTTTGGTCTATGTAAGCGTATGGAAATTCTCATCAATTGACCATATACTAACACGGCTCTAGCAATGTTCTTTGCACTGTTGCTCTTATGATAGCTGTCCTTCGGACACATCCTGAAGAAATTAAAAAGTACTCCGAAGAGGGCCCCCACTATAAGAATTACTTTCTGACCTTCTCTTGATAGGTTTGGCCCTGTGGTATTCCCGACAGCCAGCTTGTTCTTAGTGATGATAGTGTTCACAAGTCGTGTATCACTATTAGAAATTATGCCTTGGATACCATTTGCCTTTTCCATATGGCTTTTGATCACTGTTTACTCTTGCCCAGCAACGGTATCACTCGTTCAAGAAGTCCTCAAAGGAGCAAGGCTAGATTCATCAAAACATGGCCATTATATCCATAACTTTATCCGAGATGTCGAGGAAGGTCAGAACCAAGCTCCAAGCTTTGGCTTTAATCAGAAGGAGCCTTTGGAACGAGTATCGCAGTCTACAATGGATCACCAGCTTGCATTTATGGGTCGTCCTACTTCAATCATAAGCACAACGCCCAGTGATATTGATTTAGATGAAGGTAATTCGACCGCAAGGTTGGTAGGCGCCAGACTTCTGTCCCATTTTCAAGAAGATAGTGGCGAATCCATGGAATTCCTGGAAGAATTGAGGCTCCACACACAGGACCATTTTACAGACTCCCTCGAGGCTTCGGATGATTCTTTGATAGGCCACTACTCAACAACAGGGTCGGCATTCTACGACCACATATGATGAGCAATCCGTTAACATTTAGCAAAAGGTTACCAGAACTCACTATGTCAATTTGTCCAGATTCTCTACTGCCGAATTCAGCCCTGAAAACCGAGAGCTATGGATGCCCAGAGATGTATACGTTTCTCAGTTGGATCTTAAGCCGATAGGAATCATTCCGCAAATGGATCCACATTCGGTAAATTTCTTGGTTGCATATTTCCATGTGCAATATTTCTCTTTCCTCTTTTGTCCTATATACCATAGGACCACTATAACTCTACCCCTGGAGATTTCGAATGTTGTACTCTTTTCCGGAAATTCTATCCACAAGGAAATGACTGCCACAAAATCGGAACCCAGGCCATCTTCCACTTCATCATGCCTGCGTCCCCAATCAATACCAAGAAAAGAGCCACTTGTGACCAGGAACATACCCCGAGGATTTTTCTCGGCCTGGAATAGATCAGAATTGCAAGTAATGAACTTAGGAAGTGATGACAAAAGCCTACTGTGACCATATTATGGAAGTCATTCAGTTCATGTATATGTTTTTTCTCAATCTCTTTCCTTAGAAATCTCATCCAAAGGGCTTAATGGGTTCATGATTCGACCGTTCGAGCCCACCGACAACCGCCTCGTCTCACCATGGCCTCAATTTTTACACATCATAATCCTATTAGGATACTATATATATCCTACAAGAATCAACCCAGCCAGGCAGAATATGTGTCCTCCCTTTCATTTTCTGACGTGAAAATGTTCCGTCACTAGCCACAAACACTCGCAATGTTTCATTTGAGGAAACATATCTTTCAAGGCGACGTTTTGAAGCAGTCCTCTCAGATGAGGCCTTGAAAGGTCATTTTTTCTCGCAGTGACTGATCTGTCATGTCTGATCGTAGCTTTTACTCAAACAATAAGCTTTGGATGGCGCATGGGAATGTGGTGGAAGTGAATAGGAACTTTTAGGGGTTCGTGGGTTAGCGTTATCGCTAAGAGTTGATATGCGGAGAAAGGTTGGAGGTTGTGAAGAGGGCTCTGATTGTGCGCAGTCGGGAGCTTCTTTGCATGCGACAATATAGCACAGAAAGTACTGTGCAAACGAAAAAGCGGGCAATGTTCTGATATTTTCTTGCATTTCCTTTTACTTCGACATAGCAAAGCACAGTTCGGGGCGGCAAAATTCGATGCATTTCATCGGTTCAACATAAACATAGATGGACATTCGAAGAAGATGGCGGAGGAGCAATAGATGACAATAGAATTTCTTATACATGCTGCATCGAAGTCGCTGGCGATTCGGGGAGGAACAGTTTTGAACTTATTATTAACCAGTGGGTTTTTATCGCATGGTGCATGTTGGCTGGCCTTCGTATTGGCATACTCGAACTCTATCAATTTCATCGAATGAGATTCACTTATGTTTCTCAAGTCACCTATCACGCCAATTTTCCTCCGATGTGATATTCGGAACGTAGATTATGTAGATCAAAGACTAGATAAATCGAACGGTGAAAGAGCTATTTCCCCGTATGTTATTACTTCTTCTACGGAGATTGTAATTTCAAAGCAAATATCGACCTTCTACTACACTTGATACCATAAGAGGCACCCAGAAATCGAGACGGACACTTTAACCTCATCGTAGCGTTATTGAGTAGGACATTAAGACAATGCCAAACTCCAATCACTCATTTATAGGTATTATCTATCTACCTATATCGAATCACATAGAGTGAGGTAGATGAAATGATTAACACGGCCATACAAACATATTGTTACAATCTATTGAACCTTTGAAGATAGTTTAATGAGATTTAAATTCATAGGTGATAATTCGTTCCCTTCCAGAGGGAGCTATACTTGCAAAACGCCATCACTAATTCAGATCTTTCTTTCCGTCAAAAGAATTGAGTTTTGAAGATAAATGATCCTTCTTCCATGAAATGCGAAGTGTTCCCGCCCACCCGTACCTCATCTTGACCCAATAACCTCATTCGTTCCCAGCCACAATCCAAACATTGGATAGCAATCTTCTCTAGTCGATAGGGCCGATCTCTTGTTCTTTTGCTTTGCTCGAGACTCAAGATAATGATTTCTGTCTGTTTTCGGTGTTTGAGGCCGCAAAACATCGGGTAGGAGTGCTGCTGTGATCTTTGGCTCCCATTCGATTCTGAACTCGGCAAGTTTTCTGGCAGTTTCATTGCCATCATTGTTTTCCGGATGAATCGAACTGATTTCAATGTGAAATCCCTTAGTCACTTTCAGCGCTCGAGTCTCGGTCAAGACTTTCATTACACCTTTCCCTACAGCGAGTTCAATAATAGAGCTCTTCGGACCGCTAATACTTAGCGTGAGATAATCCAAGTTTAAATTTTGTGACACCACTTCCATGAAATTCTGAAAAAAAAGTCGCCTGCGTGCCATGTACACCTTCACGCATAATGTAATCCCATTCATCTTCAACACTTGTGTCATCCCAATGTTCAACGAGCTGAAAAATAGAGACTACAAGCTCCCTGATCCCTTTCGTTATTCCTGGACTTGCTTCCAAGAATTGGCCTAATACCAAAATTTTCTTATCACCTCTACAGTAAATCTTAGATCTCTCCCATATTATAAAACCAAGCTCCAACCTGAATTGCCTACTAACATTTGCCAATTTTCGAAACCAATCAAGGTACTTCCAATGGACCCTTTCCTGCGATTTATGCTCGTCATTGTTTAAGGGCTCTCCTACATCAACAATCTGCAAATAATTTTCGTTTCTATTCGGGTGATCTTTGTGGGTCCACACAATATCATTTGCGCCCTTGACAAATTCTGGATATAGTTTCGCTTTTTCCTCTGGCGAAAAGTGATGTTTTGAGTGATACTCTTCCTTCAAGAATTCTTCAAATCCCGTTGAGTAACACGACTGGTAGTGCACTCTCCACGGATCATAGCGCCCGAGAGCAATTCGGTTGACATGAGCCTTCAATTTGGGGTCAAAATAGAGAAATATAGAGGCGATCAATTGAAATATGATTTTTCGCACTTCGGCAGGTAAATCCATAAATCTGAACGGAGTTAGTCTAGTAAGCAATTAGCTACAAGCACTTCAAACTGAAAGCTATCTTACCTCTGATAGACAACGATTCTGTCACCCATTTCACCAGAATTATCATATGCCGTTCCAAGTTTAGCGCTTCGTATTTCCTTGACTCTTTCCCTGCGATGATTACTGGAGGCGAAGTAGAAATCTCCGTAATAATTGAAATCATAGGGAACTTTGCTCTTGTATTGAAGAGGCCTTGGGCCATGCATAATCACGGGTATGAGTGCTTAAAAAAAAGAAAAAAATGATTGGAAGGTTCTATCAAAGCAAAAGCTGAAAAGGTAACTCACCTTCTTCTTTGCCCTCTGCTGGGGTCTTTACGACCGTAGACTCTTGCTTGTTTGTCATCTCCGTGTCCATGGTTGCATGCTTGTCATTTCTGGATGTGTTAAGAAGATGTTAAGAAATAAGTTGAAGAGGTTTCGAAGGACCTTAAACTTAAGTCACTCAATCGCTTAAATGTAAGACAGTCATCGCTTGGAGGTGAGTAAGAAAAATTGCGAGTGAATTTTGAAAAACGGAGCATAACGTTAATCATCACACAAAAGATCAGAGATTCATTGTAGCCAATGAACATGCCACCTTGTACTGAACGTGCACCATAACCTTTCGATCTTTCCTGCGTGCTTTAACGGTTTCAGTGGGACCTTCTTTCCTTGTGGGATTGCAGAGACCAGAGAAGGCCACAGTTCTTTTCGATCCATGAAAGAGGAGATGCAAGTTCTTGGAGCTTTGCAAAGAGGATTATTTAGGATAAATTGTCAGAGTTCTTCAGTAAACCTACGATGCTATGCGCGAGTTCCACAACTTCTATTCACTTGATTATATTATGTAGAGTCATAACTTCGAAGACACGAGTGATTCTTTAAAATTGTGTTTACATGAATTGCATACGAGGTTGTATCAGTGGTCATAAAGTTCGTCTATGAATGTTTTTGAGTGACTGAAAAGCCTCATGCGGCGTTGATTCTTCAGTTTGTGAAATTGCCAAAAAAAGTCACACATGAACAGAGGTAACTGTAGATAGACCTAAATGCTCTCCCCCATCATGAGATCAAGAATGTCGTTCTTTGATTCAATCGGACTTACTATCTCGACTCTTCTAGTAACATTACCCAGAAAATGCAAACATGCCTCAAACGCTCAGCACAAATCTTGAAGTTGATTTGTTTGTTCTGACCATCTATCGTGTTGATCAAGATTTTGCTGAGTCAGAAGAGGGCGACGGAGAAATGCTTCATTTGAGGATTTTCAAGAAGATTCCTGTCACCAAATCCTTTGAATTTTTCATAGGCAAATTGTGGTTTGACTAATTCTTTACGGGTGGCTATGTTTGCAAGATAGAAAAATGGGCATTCATTCCTGTATATGAGAATTCAGCTCAGTATTGCAGAACATCTTCGCCCCATACACTTCATAGCCACAAGCCTGGCAACGAAATGATAAATTATGGCTAGTCGAGCTAAGGGATTTAAGGAGATAATACCTGCTCAGACAGCTTTGATGGGGAGAAGAGTGAGGTTAACAAGACAAACAATGCGATTTACAATTTTTAGGAATGCTCAAGATATAGTTGTGATGTGGCCTTTTTTTGAGCCCGGAAGAGGGATTCCGCTTTCAAATTTCTAAATTGCTCAGAGGTATCCTAGATAAAGGTCCAGGAGATGTAAGTCAACATATATCGCGCTCTGATATCTTCCTATTTGGTAATGCTGGTCTAGATTATGATCTAAAATAAGTGTAACTACACAATTGCAGCTTCACATTCGGTAAAGATTCCACGATATGTCACTCCGACTTACAGAATTCTAAAATCCTAGCAAAACTCATCAGCTAAAACATGCACGTCATACTCTCGACGCCAGTCAACCAAAATTCACAACGAAACAAAGTTAATCCATGGATTCTGACAGAAAATTCATAGCTAACGATATACTAGATCGCTTGGCGCCAGTCTAGAGGGTAACTAAAACTCCTAAAACTCGATCGTGGCCACACTAATATAGAAGCTACTCGTAGCAACACCACCTTAGGAGATTTCTTTTTGAACTGTTCATTTTCCCCAGGTTACACCTAAATACTCTCGATCCTTCAGTGCAGGAACATTTTTTCAGACGATAATTACATTGAGAGCAATCGATACATTCACAATCACCGTACTTTCTCCTAGATATATCAAAGCTTTCAATACGATCCTCAATCTTATTCATACGCCACAATACCGTATTAATCTCATCACCTCGCTATAATTGCGTACCTACCGTCCAATAACGACTTAAAACGATGGGCTCAATCAATACCACCATGGACTGGGTAAGTAATCTCCTTGTTGAGCCAGTCATTGTCTCTCGCCTGTTCATACATGAAAGTTCCACACATCGCTTATGATACATTGTCTTTTCCCTTCTTGTCCCTGCTCGTATCTCAATAATCCAAGCTAATTGAATCATAGACACCCGCCGAGTCTCACCCAGGCGATCATGCTCACTTAAAATCGGGCGACTTGATTGAAGTTGGTGATAAGGAGGAAGAACAAGACCGCAGTCCACAAAGAAACGAGCAGCACAACGCAAAGAAAGGCCGGGATGACAAAAAAGAAGACAGAAAACGCCGTCACAACATCGCCAATGTCCATGCTCTGCAACACAGGAAAGGCCCGTCTGTCTCTACATCAAAGCCTACAGCCAAAAGAGGCCGCGAAGATAATGAAGATGACGAGACCTCAGATGGACAGCAGGACAACACAGTAAACCAAAGAGCTTCCAAGAAGAATTGTGGCAAAGCCGTCAAGGATCGTAGAGTCTTGAGCCTTGCCTTCTTCGAGCTTGTTGAAAGAGGCGGAGGAGAAATTCGATACGACATTAAGGAGGACCCGTGGGGATTATCCAAAAATGGCACTGTCGCTAAAATTTCTTTGGAAATGAGCACAAAGCGATTTGAAGACGAAATGTCTATGCTCGATGCGGCAATGGGTGGAACTTCGTTCAATCAATAGAGGTTATGTCTCCTCGCTACTATGAGCTGGTTTCTCTTGGGCGCTACTTACCTTGTTATTTAAATTGAATAACCATGTTTCATCTTCACTGAATGATGCTGAAATTCTCCTTTGCATGAAGTGCGACTGAAACTTTCACGAGTATAATGCAATCAAGGATAATGCTGCAGTATTGAATGCGGCACTTGCCTTCTAAATAGCACATCCCGCGATTGACAAACACTTTTATTTTTCACGGTGGAACTGGGGTGGATTCTTTGCTTCTTGACATTATCTTCGTGGGTGATAAAACTCGTGAGTGAAGCAATAGTATACACGGCCTCAGGCCAACCATGCTCCTGCGTCCATGCTAATGACACATTTTAAAGAAGTCTTTCCTTCGCTCATTAATTCATACCGCCATCTTAAACCAGCTCGCTAGTAACATTAGAAAATTCACCCTTCTCCAACTTCGTCTTCCAGAATATTGGGTTGGTATCATTGAATCCGTGCTTAACCCATCCATCTTCCTTGACGTGGTACAAATTGATGAAACCTCCAGAATAGGCGTCCCTGTGTGTAGCAGCCAAGATACTTCTTCTTCCCAACTCCAAGGCTGCTTCCTCGCTCAAATCGTATGAGTATTCGGCATCCAAAACACCATATGCGAAGGTTTGACCGGACCCAACACAAAAGAGGTTTCCACTCAATCTTGTTCCATCGGAATCGATGTAGTAAAGTGCGGGCCCTTCTTCTTTGGTGACACCTGCACACATAGTTCCCATGGACAATCCCATACCCTTGTATCTATAAACGAGGTTTGCAAGAATCTTAGAAGCAGCTGCGACGGAAATGCGGCGTTTGTGACGAAGTTCGTGAAGTCTGCATTGCATACCAAGATATGCGAGCCAGTATTGACAATCCTAAGTTTCAAAACGTCAGTAATGACCAGGGAAATAATCAATTCAGTGTTGAATTTAATGACTTACAGCAGCACCACCAGCCATTGTGCCCAATAAACAGTTGTTAATCTCAATGACCTTCTTAACAGTTTGACTTGCGATCCAGTTGCCTGCCGTTGCTCTTGAATCTGTCGCTACAATAATTCCACCTTGAAATCTAAATGCTAAAGTTGTGGTACCGTGTGCGATCTTAATGGGACAGTTTGGGTTCGCATGGTCATCAGTAGCTGCTCGGAGCCAAGCAGATGGCTAGAGATGGATTGATTAGCAATTTGCACATCGCATTTTATAGTGAACAGAGCCCCGAGTCCGCAAATAGATAATCGTGAGGGTAACGTACATGTGCGACAGGAGGCATGGCGAATTTCAAAGATAAGCCAGGAGCTGGTTGGTATAACTCCATCTGGTCTTCTTGAGGAGCTTCTTGCTCGTAAGCAGGTGTGCTGTATTGTGATACTAGAGAATCCATTTTCAAGAGTCTAGTCGGAGTTTGAGATTTGGAAAGTTTGGCGGAAGCAGAGTTGTAGGATTGACGTCGCTGATGGATTTGATGTTGATGTTGTATACCCAGTTACTAGGTACTGAATAATAGTAGCTTACTAGGCAGCTTGAGTTTCGCGTCAGCGGGCGGTAACTGCTCGTTTTGCCGGGCCTTACTAAATACAGACTAGCGCCATCAGTCAATTGTACCTTATCGAGGTAACCTTTCGATATCAATATAAAACTTCCCTAGTTGCATACAGAGGACAAGCCTCATAATTGTTGTATTGCTTTTACTATTTTTTATCTGGGCAAGCAAGTTCTGTCATGTCAAAGGAATACTCTAATTCCTCTTTTCTTCCTCCATCGCCGATAACCTTACTGTGACGCGATATCATGACTCGGAACTGTGACTTCCGCACGAATGTACGAAGTACATAGAAGACACGATATAGGAGCTACTACTCCGAGCAACATTCAACATTAAGTGCGAATGAGATGTGGAAACACAAGTTAACTTCACGTTATCATATTTTTTATCGTGCAAACAAGCCGTAGGTACTATTTTGTATCGTGTCATGTACACTCTCGAAGAGGAGCACGAGCAAAGGACTTTTGATCTGGACCCCATTGGTACCTCGACCTACCCCTCTTCCACACTGATTTTCTGGCCAGTCTCAACCATATACTTAAGTATAAGATCTCTCAGCTATATATCTGAGTGTATGATCAGCTGAATGTCAAGCTCAGCTCTCTAAGCCATAGAAGGTTCGAATGCAGTACGGTAAGGCATAATTATATATATCTTATGCATCAAATGGGATACATGTGAAGACTTTTGTGCTTTATCATTGGTATGCTCTTTTGCTTCCTTTTGGCCATCCATGCTCACTCGAGTTTGCGAAGTTCACAAGACGTTCAGAGATATCTGTGCATCGCGAGACGGATTGAGCAAAAGGAAATACCAGCCCTCTTGCTTGCGACAAGGATTGATTCGAAAATCTTTACCCCAAACTCTCAGCTGTCCAGTGACAAGCAGTATATCCACCCAGCTCCAAATTTCATCCATGTTCTGGGCTCATTACCGAGATTCATTTAAACAGGATTTATTGGATGGTAAACCTTTGCGATACAATCTTAATAACGACCACGTTCATTGACATTCCTAATATATATTCATCTCATTGTTCACCGATCTATCCACATAACCTTTGATCTCAACAGGAGGTTACTCTAAATCACTGCATTCAGCCTCCAGATCTGCCTTAGTGATTAAAATACGTCACTTTGTCATACAATCTTTTCTCAAAACTTCACTGCGCACCTCTTCGCTTCACTATCACGATTCTGGGTCTTAAAGCCTCAATCCGAATATTTCATGAGTGTCAAACACCATATCGCCTAACCTCAACATAACCCCCATTTGTTCACCTTGGGTACCTTCACTATCGTGTTCTCGGTCAATTACCGATAACAGATTCATTTGTACGTCCTTGTACCAGTGTAACGTTATCATCGAATTCATCAACACAGATCGGAAATATTGGCGTAGAAGCCGTGTGTCTGTCCCAATTATTATCAATTCTAGCAGCCGATGGTAAATTGAAATGCTTTTATACTAATTTATCCGTTCCCATTATTTTAACCTTATATGCATTGATCTCATCCCTTTGGAGAGATCTAATTCATGATGTTGTCATCCTCAGAACGCAAAAGAATTCGCGAGGTTCGCCGCTACTACAAAAGATCTCCCGATGATCCCCCTATCGCTGGCGAAAGTCCACCGACCGAGAGTCCCGAGACAGTTCGGTCCGTGGAAAAGGCTAGCAGCCCCAATAGTACACTAACTGCGTTGATGCAATTGATCACGTGGCGACTTGGTGCATCAAGGGCGATGGTATCTGTTGTTGATGACAATGCACAAGTATTTTTGATTCCTATCAATACTAATTTGGCGGTATGCTCACGCCTCTACAGTACTTTCTCGCGGAAGCAACGAAAACACTGGATTTGTCAGACTCATCAAAACATGATCCAGGTGATGATTTGTGGATGGGTTGTGGAGGGTAAGATCTCTTACAGTAATAAGACTTTCGGGGCCTTTTCTGACAAAAGCCACGTTTTGCAGAACTATTCGCAGTGAAGCTCTATGTGCGGTGAGTTTTCCAGACCACCTGTCGCTCACCACTAATATCTTGTGACTAGTACACTATAGAAGTTATCCCTGAACCAAATCATTATGCCTGTTTCAGTGTTCCGGATCTATCGGCCGATCCCAGGTTCTGTAAGCTGCCTTATGTTGCAGGCGGACCGAGATTTCGATATTATGCAGGAACTCCTTTAATCAGTAATACCGGAATACCGATTGGAAGTGTCTTTGTCATTGATCCAAGGCCACGTGAGCAGGCCACGAGAGCGGAGGTCGACTTCTTGGGACTAATGGCAAAAAACGTCATGGAATACCTTGAAATGAAACGGGAAAGTGTGCAGTTACGGCGGAACGATGTGATGTCTAAAGGATTGGCTGCTCTAGTTGAGGGTCAAAGTAGAATACCGCGGCAGTTGCCGACAGATATGGTCGTCAAGTGCCAAGACGCCAACGGCTCTCATTCGGATAAAGCGAAAATGGCTAACACCAATTTAACAAGTAAAATGGTTACTTTTGACACGTCTTTAGCGACGGTCGCCGAGCAGTCCTTGAAAAATATAGTTGGCCTTCCACACACACTGGTTGGGGAAAACTTGCTGCATGATATTTCACCTAATACATCTATAGATCAATTGGCATTGACTGATGCCCCGGCGACTCATGATCGAATACTCTCACGAGGCGCGAATCTACTAAGAGAATCCCTCGATGTTGATTATACAATTTTCTTCGAAATGAGTATTGGCTTTTCAACCAGTGTCGAAGATGAACAGAACGGAGATGTTAGATCGCCTGAAGACACATTTTTGGATGATTCAAATGCGAAAAATGACTTCACCACAACACCTACTCATCTTTCCCAGGACAACGATATCGATTTATTGAATACATCTGCCCAGTCTTCGTCACTGAACAGGCGAAGTAATGAAGCAGGGTCTGCCAAAGTTAGAAGTTTCTCCACATCAAATTGTTCGTCATTGGATGGTGATACACTATCATGTACCCTCTACAGAGCGCCGAATGAAAAAGATCTGCAGAGACTTTCGAAGAGATATCCTAAAGGTAAAGTATGGACGTTCAATGGCTACGATTCTGAATCTTCAGAAGACGATGACTCACCACCATCTAAACAAATGTTCTCTATGCATCTTAATTCACATAATCATCGAGTCAAAAGATCTGATCGCAGTATTGTGAAGCAGTGCTTTCCTGATGCTCGAGAGGTTCTTTTTGCTCCACTCTCTGAGGCAGGGACTGGATTACCCATAGTGGCATGCTTTGCAGTATCCCTACGGGATATAGCGATTTTCACATCCGATACTGAAAAGGCATTTGTCCGTGGGTTTCTGAACAGTGTTTCTATTGAGTACAATCGAATATCCATTGCAGCTGCCGATCGTCAAAAAGCAGATTTCATATCAAGCATATCACATGTAAGACCATCAATCATGTTCACTTGCAGACATTTCTAGCATGATCTATCTTCGTAAGAGGTGCTCAAGGCCAAGTCTTCAGAAGCGATCCTCGTAAATCTTAGATTTTTCTTCGTTGGATTTACAAGGTTGTTAGGATGCCCTACAGGTCAAGCACGACTGCTACGTGCACAATCAGTCATTGGCTCGTCTCATCTTGCAAATCAAAGCTGATTGATTATATCATCAACAGGAATTGAGAAGTCCACTTCACGGAATTCTTGGGTCTGCCGGTATGTATATTCTGCCTGGAGCACTCAATACATGTTTTAACCAGTCCAATAGAGCTATTAAGCGAGACGAATCTTGATAATGGTCAATTTGAATTCTGCTCGACAATAGAAACATGTGGACGAGTCCTTCAAGAAACTCTAATGGATGTTCTTGAATATTCCAAGGTATGAGCTCGATTTTCTCCCTTAATCTTATGGTCGAGAAGCCCGTGAATCGTCAGTTCTCTTATCACATGAAGCTAACACGTATAGCTAAATAATTTAATGAAACACAAAGAAGTTAGTGTAAAGGCCCCAAGTATAAACGGAAATTCTTCCAATTCCCAGCAAACAAACGGCGAAAATCTCACGAGCGACGATCTACTTTCTCAACCCCTAGATCTCGCTAGAATGTGTGAAGACTCAGTGGCAATTGTTGCGGTGGCATACATGCACCACAAAACGAATTCAGAACAGCTTCTACACCGAGTAATGCAACCTCCAGGGACGATAGAAACGCAGGAGAATCAAACCCTGTACAAATCTAACCCTGTCACTGTATCTTTGCACATTTCATTTGATCATTGGCACTTCTTCTGCTCTCCGGGGTCTGTCCAGCGAATCATAATGAATTTAGTCGGCAACAGTCTTAAGTATACATCAGAAGGCTTCATAGATATTTCTTTGGCTGTTGAATCTCCCAAAAATGGCAACGCCAAGATATCGAAAAGACCGAATATTGACACTGATGACTTAGTTGTACTTCGAGTCAGTGATAGTGGTAAGGGTATTTCTAGTGAGTTTTTGAAAAGCAAACTCTTCATAGCCTTTTCTCAGGAGTCGTCATTGGCACCTGGTACTGGTAAGAACTCTGCTATTGCTTTGATATCATCGTTATGCTGATGTGCTGTGCAAAAGGACTTGGACTTCACATCGTGTATTCTCTCGTGCGGATGTATAACGGAACTATCGATGTTCAAAGTCAAATCGGTCACGGAACAACTGTTACAGTCAAACTACCCCTTAAAAAAGCGGTATCTAATCTAACTTCGATCACCCCCTCCGATGCACTTCTCAAGGATCAAGTCGAAGAATTGAAAATATTGCTCAAACAATCTAAATATTCCAAATTCTCAACTCACGGTTTCCGGTCGGGCTCATCTTGTTATCTAAAGAAATCCTTGCACGCCTATCTTACTCAGTGGTTTGGCATGGATCATGAGCCGGACGATGAGGCTGCTGATATTGCTTTTGTCACTGAAGAAAAAGTCGATTTGTTCCTTGCAGAGCTGATGCAAGATGGTGCATCCAAGCCCTCGCTTATAATAGTGGTACGATACGTTCCAAGTCACAGCCATACATCCCAGCAGAACTCGGCTATTGGTATACCCCTTGAGACTCTCACGATACCGTTTGGTCCCTGGAAATTGTTGAAAACATTACGCAGCTGTCTGTCGCCAAAGCAGATATCACCCAAACCACCTCCTGTAACCGATCATAAATTCTTCTATTCCAGCCCTTTACCCTCTCCGACCGCTGATATCCGAAAAGAATTTGGGACAGCCGTCACCAAGCCCGCAGTGGAGGAAGCACTTACTGAAAAGTCACCCTACCTCTCCAAAACTATATCAAATCCAAGTCAGCCATCCATTCTTTGCGTCGATGATAATCCTATCAATCTTCGCCTCCTTCGAGCGTACTTTCGCAAACTAAATTTCGATATCACTTGTGCGGAAAACGGAGCAGTAGCGTTCGAGAAATATCGTCTTCAGCCCAACGGTTTTGATCTTGTATTCATGGGTATGTGCATAACACTCCTCTTGGCTTTAATTGTGTTTCCCCTTTCCACTTTAATCCACATCCAATAATTCACAACCAGCTAATATGTCTCACAAACCAAAGATATTAGTATGCCAGTATGCGATGGCTACCAATCTACCCGACTGATTCGATCGCTCGATAAACTTCAACAAATTATCAGTCCAGCCCCACTACCACCCACCCGTATTGTGGCACTTTCGGCTGCATATTCTGAAGCAGATATGGAGATGGCGAAGGCGGCGGGTGTTGATGACTTCTATACAAAGCCGATGAAGGTTAGTAGATTGGAAACGCTTATGAGGGACTGGGGATACCTGGATTCATAACCATGGGCCCAAATGGTTGACTCGCACATAATAAATTTTGAGATTTGATGGTACTATGGGGTGAATGTAAAGATTGAATTGAACAGATAGGAAGACTGAGTATTGGGGATGATTGATTAAGGTTACATTTTTAAACGACTAGTCGAAGGTTTGTATACTTAAAGGGAGGGCGTATATAGTATCTTAAAATAAGGAAATAGTAAAAACATATGGACAATATATTATTAACATACTGAAGATAGATCACATTACTTTAGTTATCACTTTCCCGTTTTCGGAACTTGTTTTTACCATTATACATCCTGGGTCACATTTCATGTTTTATCAAACTTCGCATACCAGATCATGAAAAGCACGGTGGAAGTCCATCAACTCAAATTTGGGTAAAGCAACGATTTATTCCAGATAGCTAGAGATTGAGAAAATTGGCAAGTGACATTAATCCTCAATGAGTGTAAAGTATGCTAATGTCCCCGAAGCGAGCAGATTCAAAATCCGATTTTGCAGATAAAAACGAAAAAGAGTGTGAGATTCCCCAAGAAAAAGGTTTGATCCGTTATGTGGAGATAACGTGAAACTCAGGGCTTGCGTATGCCCCCCCTCTCTATTCTGCTTTTTCCATTATCGCGTTCGATTCTAACTCGGAGAGTGAGTGGGTATTAGAGATGTGAATTTGCGAGCTCAGAAGACTGGCGAGCACGGTTTGTATTCGTTTCCATTTCCCTTTCCGCTTCCGTTTCCGTTTCCGTTTCCCTTCTCATTGCCCTGAATACTTCTTGTAGGCCTGGGTCCCACAGATCTACCACTGGTAAACCAAGTCCGAGGACGTGATTCGTTTGTCGTATGGCTAAATTCTATAACCTCTCTCTCTCCTTCCTCTTCTCAGCTGAAATGTGCAAAAGTTCCAGAGCAGTGGAGCCAGCCGGGTATAATCTTTGAAAATACACTTTATATTGTCCCCAGGTTCCATCATTCACGTGTACGCTGTAGGTCTGATCGTGAACCCCTGGCAGTTTATCATGCTTTATGTAATATATTTTAACGTCAAACTTAGCTTCCAGGGTCTCTGCTCTGTCAACGGTAAAATATTTTGAAATAATGCAATGACGGCATGTTCTCGAAAATTGATATTTTGGAGCCTTCGCCAGCAGTGATCCACATTCTCAATAAAATATTGCAGACCTCGAGTCAGAACTCTTGAGGGTTCCAATCCGTTCACCTGATTATCAAGAAATACTGCCCAATTACTGAAGACACTTTGGACTGAAATTCGATCTTCATGTGCTTTCCAGAATGCCTTACACTGCGATGCAACAGATTCTCCTCCACTGTACCAGTCTATAACCAAAAGTAGTAGCCCACCTTCCCAGGCCGTCCAAGTTTGTTGTTGTTCAGAGCTCATCGGCCTCCTTTCAATCCCAAGTATGGAAGTTGTACCTAAGTTAGGAAAGGGTGTCAATCCAGAGGAATGCATCCTACGCTGCATTTATGACATCTTGTGAGCAGAATTGATAGCAGATACAAAAAAAATCTAATTGGGTCCATCGAAGTAGAATTCGTTTTAACCCCCCAATCTTACAATGATCAAAAACACTTCGAATGCAGAAATTTCTCGGGGCGGGTATGATTAGAGTATGAGCAGAATACAAGATGAATCTGATCTTTACTGGAGGATATATATGGTCTACAAAGCTCAGTAGAAGACTTTGTAGGTTATACACCAATTGTAAAGACGTCGAAAGGTAAAGCGATGACGTTGGTAATGATATCAAACAGCAAGGGGGTCTGTAGATTGCAGGCCTGAGCGAGATGGTAAAGATAGGTGATAATATCCGTCATTGCAGGGTGTCGTAGGATGTATGTAGTTTGTTTAGTTGTATTGCAGTTGAAGGAAGTTTATTATTTTTACACTTTTACTTAGGGAGAAATGGGGAAAGAGAAGCCATGAGCAGAAACCTAGCCTATTTGAGCGCAGATCTGATAGCCTCTACATATCTTAAAGATAGAGGGAAGACGAGATACGAAAGATTGCGACTGAAAAAAACGCTTTATCTTGAGCCAAATTGCAATGCTAATGATGTTATATCACTTGAATCTGCCATTCATACGCAATTCAACCTCTATTTGTAATAATTTTGACGCGGGTGTTTCTTTTCTATACACGATACGACTTTTGGCTTTAAAAGTCGATGGCGAGTAGTATAATTGCGTCTTCCTAAGGTGAGAATTGTACTAGATTGGTATCGGTATGTATTCTGGTCATATTGGGTGGCGCAAAGTCGATCGGTGTCAAAGAGTGAAGTGAAGTAAAGTAAAGTTTAAACATTGTGAGATCAGAAAGACAACTAGCTGTTGCTCAAAAACATCCGGTCCGATGTGTCAATTCTGTGAATTTCGCAATGGCTGCAGGATTCTCAGAAAATCCAAATGACTGGCTGTGATTCGACATGATAGAATGGAGTGTTGCTGATTGATATTCGAAAGTTGTGATAGTTGAAAGTATCTGATTAGGGACGGCATGATAGCTTTCAAGGGGAAAGAACGAGAAGGGAAGCGGAAAGAGCAACCTGAATTATAAATCAAGCCAAGAGTCTCTATTCTTTCCCCTCAAAGGTAATTTTCTTTGTGAAAATTGCGACCAATTTACAACAATATAAAACAACATAGCCATCGTGGCCCCTATGTTCACTCTCTGCAAAGAAACGCCATCAAGGTTTTCAATATTCCAAAAGATATTCCACCAGACACTCCAACAATCAAAAGCTTTCGATTCCTGCATTCAGGTAAAACATATATATTCTTAACAATCTCGACACCCTCTCGATTATTACCCTTCCTTCAGGCATTCCACGATTTTTGATATGGCTACATTTAGGAACACTGGAGACACTGAGAGTATCAACATTGATGAAATCATAATAACCTCACGATCTTTACCAAAAGTCAAATGTAAGACTAGATCTGTTGAACCTGTAAACATTCACTGTCATGAAAGAAATATGACCATCACTCAGGAAAAGGCGTATGAACAGTTTCATCTTAAATTTCTTTTCGTTCCAATTGAAACGGCGTCTATGAAATAGAAAATGTAGTTTGCATATGTTTCACGCAAGTCTTCTGTATAATATGATGCAGTAGTTGCGAAGCCAAATCGATAATTAAAAGAGTCCGATCTAAGTATCAAAGAAAGAAATCTGTCATATATACAATAAATTACAAATACATAAACCCTCAAATCAAAATGACGCTGTATCAGGGTATTCCAAATCCAAAAAACTCCATATTCAAAATGCTTCACAAAAAATAACTTCAAATCTGACTATTCTTGATAGAATATAGCCCACTCCAATTTAAATCTTCCTCAGACTCTATTTCTGTCTTAAATTCGCCCCTCATTTCATACATAGCCGCCACCGAAAAGCCCGCTTTCATGGCTGTATTTTTGTTCCACAAAATTCTTCGAATCAAGAATCTTATGGCATAGCCATGAACCCCGAGCATTTCTACCCAATCTTCTTTTTCCATCGCGAACATTTTGTATCCTGAACCGACAAAATTATTTGCAATGGATATGGCCGAGGATCGCGGAAGAAAGACGTAACAGGCGCGAAGCTGTGCTGCAATCCACACACGACACTCGGCATTGGTGTAGTCTTTCTTGGGGGTTGTCATCCACCTTATTCTTTTGGTACAGTCTGGGTCCTTGGTGGGAAGGTCTCCCTCGTGGACATCGGTGACTACTACTTCTATTTGTAAGCTAACTTATATCGTACAAGGCAGGTGCCGCAGCAGAGCATCACGTAAGAGTTTTTCATGCAATCCGGTTGATCTCGCCCACTCGAATCAAGTCAAGTAACGAGAGGAATTTCAAACATCTAGATGATCAAAATGATTTGAGTTGAAAAAAAAGCTTGGTACTTACGGGTGTCGTCCGATTTATTGAATGATTGGTTTCCGTAAATTAATGCCGAGTTGTGTCTCTTGTGGCTGAGTGGTGACTTGAGGAATTGAAAAGACATCATTATCTTTGTATCTAATTGATTCAATGATTTGATGTCGAAGATGGCAAGTAGGTAGGTAAATAGGTAGACAGATCGAAAAGAGAAGAGAAATCTTGTGAGCGAAACTATGCGACCTTTATATAGTGAAAATCTAGACCAGTGTATACTACTAAAAAGATAGTCAATTTAGATTACAGGCTAGACCCTCTAGTTCAACGAAGGGTTGGGAAAAATTGATCAAGATACTAGAAACACGAAAGCTGATTGGCTTCTGAAAAGTGATTTTTGGAACTTCGAAATCGTTTATATATAATTGAAAGAGAACTCAGAGCAGAAGTATCTCTGTGATATCAATGCTGAAGTTCATTATAAGCTGAGAATATCTGTCCAGGTGATTCCCATAAATAGACACAGGGCTCTCTTGCTAGTCTGGTCTTGCATCCAAAAAGCTTATTTTACGCTAGCAACTCCATACTTTGACATGCCGAGAAACTTTCTTGACATTTGACTGATCTCAATCACGCAGGGAAGAACATGAAACAACTTGACATCGGAGTTAAAAACGTTACTCTCGTCAACGGTTAAAGGTAAATCATAAGACTGGTGACATCAAGAACCTTGGAACTACAGAAGGTTCCAACAAGTGGACTATCAAAAAAAGAAATGTAGACAAGTTCCTGTCAGGTTCCCATATCATATCACTGTTCCTTTATGACATAATGACTGCAAGTCATGCTCGGAGATCCAGCACTTGCTGCACTTCACGTGCGTACGCACAAATTAGTTAAGAGAAAGTGATGGCTTTTCATCTCGTGACCAAACTAACCTTATTCCATGTCCGACTGTCGTGGTGATCTTCCCTGGAACTATGGTCCAGGTCATGGTCATCATGACGCGCATATACTGTTCAAGAATCAATAAGTAGATTGAAAATAGCATGAGAGTCACCGTTCTTTTCGTTGATGTCGCCCATCTTTTGAGGATATAATATTTTCCCACATGCCTCCCTTAGATGTTCGGTTCGGTAAAAGTGGTCATCGAGGCGCACGTGCTCAGTTGTCATCACTGTCTTGAAACTCTCATGGGTGCAAGGACCTTACGTCATCAAGCTTAGAATCAGCCCTGCGCATGCAAAAAGAAATTGATAGTCTCAAGAAATATTTTGAGTCATTGCCCCACCACAACTTCTTCAGAAGACAAATGCATTTGCACAGTTTTGAAAAGACTCAGTGAAGAGGAAGTATGTTCAAGACATCTCAAGTATTTTTCAAAGGTTTATTCAAAAGGAGGAGCCGTAGGATACAACGTTAAGGTTACCGTTTTCAATCTGGCTTTTCGAATTCCACGAACGGCTACAAATCTCCTCTTAAACTTTCACAAAATTAGTTGCAAAATGCCTTCTATTGAAGTGAACGGCAACGCCGTTAAAACTCGCATTCTCCCAGTCAACGTGTCTGAGGTTGGGAAATTCAATAATCAAGAAACCCTCGAGAGATGGGAACTCCCCAAGGATCTCTCTGGACTACAATCTATCGCGGAAGCAGCAGAGTACCTCAAGATAGAAAGCATACCCGTAGCCTTTCCAACAGAAACTGTTTATGGATTGGGTGCGGATGCGACGCGAAGCGATGCTGTGAAAGGGATATACAAGGCTAAAGGGCGACCTTCAGACAATCCACTGATTATACATGTTTGCGATCTTACCATGCTACGCAGTCTCTTGACCTCGACCGATAAGCAAAACGTCGATAGTGATTTTTCCGAAATACCAGAGATCTACAGGCCACTAATCAAACGTTTTTGGCCTGGTCCCTTGACCGTCCTTCTACCGAATCCATCTCCAAGCAAGTTGGCATCAGAAGTTACAGCAGGTTTACCAACATTCGGCGCGCGCATGCCAAGCTCTCCTCTTGCGCTTTCTCTAATAAGGCTCGCTGGTGTTCCACTCGCCGCCCCATCTGCGAATGCCTCTACGAAACCTTCCTGCACAACCGCTCAACATGTGCATCACGATCTTGACGGTAGGATCGAAATAATACTTGATGGTGGTGCGTGCCAGGTCGGAGTAGAAAGTACGGTTGTAGATGGCATGTGTAATCCTCCAGTCGTTCTCAGGCCTGGCGGTGTGAGTATTGACGAGATTCGAGAGTGTCGTGGCTGGGAAGGTGTGGTAAGAGGATACAAAGACCAAAGTGAAATTGGAGATAAGGCACCCAGAGCACCGGGAATGAAGTACAAACATTACAGCCCCAAAGCGAAGGTTATATTGTGCGAGAATGGGCGCGGCATTGAACATTTGTTCGGAGACGAAGCGCTCTCAATTGTAGCAGCACGAGCTGAAGAGACGGAACACACCGAGCGCAATTCTTTATCCTCCGACAAGCCAGCCACAGTTGGCATTATATCTACCCTGAATTGGAGATTTCGACCGGGGGTTGAAGATTATGCCGACTATGATATTCAAGTAGATGAACACAAAGACAAAGGAACTATAGACATAGAAGCGAGCTTACAGTCAAACGAGTTCGCGCTCTACACAAGAAAGCATAAACCTTGGATCAAAGATTCGAGTGATCAGACGACAGGCTGGCATGTGGCGAACTGCTTGAAAATTGCCCTGGGTAGTGAAATCAAAGATATCGCCCATGGTCTCTTTTCGGCCCTGCGAGAGTTGGACCAGAAAGGGTGTGATGTCATTTTTGTGGAAGGCATCAAGGACGAAGGGGATATTGCGGCAGCCGTCATGAACAGGCTTCGAAAAGCAGCGACGGTCATTGAAAGATAGAAATAAAGAATCACTGCCAAAATTCATTATATCTAGATACAATTCCATAGAACAAGCGGCGTCCCATTATGATTTCACTATTCCTATGCCTGGGAATATGATATGCCCCAACTCCAGTACAATCTAAACTCCTTTTATGGCTCCCAAGCAAATATAATGTTGCCCATCCACAATGACACGATCTTCGTTCTTCATGCCCTTCACAGACCCTGCCTCAACCAATCCCCTAGTTTGGCCTTTCCGAATTGTGCCAAATTGTTCATGCCTTGCTCGCTCAAATCGATACCCTTCAATTGTGCTACATCTTGCGTAGGCGCCTTGCTAACTCTTTGGACGATAATCGTGGGGTCTGTTTCGAGAATAATACCATCATCAACCATCTCGTCAACTGCCAGGGAAAGGAGGTCGTAGTTTTCGATTATAGTCCGTTTGTCTACGGATTGTCTGCGACATATTAGCATTTCTTCCTTTCGCAACTCCTAGTAATAGAGAGAGAAGTAGGGAACAAGTCCAGGGCAGATTCCATTAGGACAAGACGTACTTGAATAGCAGATGCAAAGAATCCCTCAAAGCCAAAATAACATTATAAAGCATAATCTCATTCTCGTCCACTCCTCCAACTACATACATCATAACGTCGCTCTCGCTCTTATATAACACAATGCGATTGTCGTAGAGGATAATATCTGCGTTTTGCTTTTGCGTCTTCTCGAGGAGACCTTTCTCGAATGCTTTTTGAGATTTTTGATCGGGATATGGTGGTGCTGGAGCTAGGCAGTATGTCAGAAGTTACATTATCAGAAACGAATGTAAAAAAAACACATACAAGAAGAGTTGTGGTGGGGTGGTGCGTAGTATTTGGTGAATACTCGGGAGCCATCTTCGGCATTGAGGATTATGATGGCATTGACGGAGAAAAGAGACATATTGGGCGCCATGATGATAGGTTGGGGCCGATTGGCAAAGGTGTTTCGGTGGGAGTTGGGTGTGCGGTGTACGGTGTTCGAGAAGGAATCTTTGGAGCTGGTATGAGAACGAAGCTATTGGTATGGAAATCGTGGTCGCAATGTCATTCGTGCCTCAGGGTTCATCAAATTTGGGGAACGCGGAATATAGTTACTCCGTCTTCCGGGATCGCACCGTTGGAGACAAACCACAGAGGAGATCGATACTTGGTAGCAGCTATTTTCAACAACATAATTGTTTCTCTTAACCTATATAAATTTACCTCTTTGTGACAACTGAGAGAGATAGTGAATTTTATTTCGACTCTCTCATTTGTCCCTAGTGTTTGACTAAATTTTTGTTCGAGATGTTTAGATGAAGATTTGACTTTTGCAATTGATCCCCGCATGTTTTTTCACCTGTCTATAACGCGCTCCATGAAACAAAGGGAGGATTGATATCTGGTATGGCTCATGATGCAAAGAAAACGATCGGTGCAACATGAGTTTAGTTTCTAGCACAGGCAGAATCAAGTGATGAGTCCTTGCGCTAGCTTCGCAAATCTACATCCAAGTGTTCCGCAGCTATGCAACTCTACAATGAATTCCAATACATTAACGAAAATAGTGTTGCAATCATTCGTTACGGGATATTACAGCGGTGTTTTTCAAGCTCAGGTCTTTTCTATATGTCGCTATGCTCTTGTTGCTAGCTTTTCTACTGGCACGTTTATTGGCTTCATTTCAATCTCCTAGTCTACTGTATGACTCCTAATTGCAGCTCTCTGATTGACAAAGTGAGAGCCTCATTTTCTATCAGTTCAGATATCTCAAACATACAGCAAAATTAGGTCTCATTGTTCTCCATCTATGTATCTTCTTTGTTAATTCTCAACCACTCATCACCTTTCATTTCTCCTTGTTTGATTATAAAAGTTGAACAACATGTGTAACATAGGTGAACAATGCCATTGTATTTGAATATATAGCTCGTTTTTACAGATTACCTCCAAGTTCGAACATCATCCATTCATTTAGATACATCTAACCACACACACGCACAAATACTAAACTTATCAAACCAGATCTTAGCTATCATGAGATCTGACGATGATTTGCCCGCGCGCAATGCTCCTTTCCATGATCCGGAAACAACTTCAACGTATTCAATTTCACGTCAAGGAAGAGCGAAAATGTTCCACGCCCTTCCAGAGCAGCTTATCAAAGATTGTCAGCGTCAATGGTCGGATAGCTTAACCAGGTTTCGAAAATACCACGAAGCCACTACTGCTAATAGTGTATCAGGAGCAACTGAGATTCCTGTTCCCTCCATGAAGACAGTCGCCAGAACACCACGTCCAAGCGAATCGAATGTAGGGACCTGCACAAAGTTATCTGATCGCGATGTTTCCTTTTCTTTGGCACCAAGGAACGGAATGCTCAAGATAAGTGTAGATGCAATGACGGAATTCATTTGTGACTATGCTAATCGTTGGTACTCTACTCTTCCATCTAGTGATCCAAGCAGAGTAACACCTAATAGACATCTTCCTGGAACTATTCCCATGTTTGCCTATTGGTCTACTGACTTCCATGAAGTCATGGAGCAAGGAGAAAGGCATGCTGCAGCGGAACTTACCAAGAGGTTTTCGCGAGAAGAATTTTGGCAGTTGCGCTATTTTTTCTTCCTTATTCAAACCGGCTCAGAAGAACGCGACCTATTTGGACATATAGCTGTCTGTGCTATCTCTCCAGAAGCCAAGACGATTGATTATCTCTGTAGCGCCGACGACGACGGTCTAATTCGTGGTAGAGGTGCTCAATGTGTTGAAAACTTCCTTGCTATGCTTACAATATATCTTGGAGACGAGCCACCATTGAGTCAAAGATTCAATCCATGCGATTGGAAACTCCGAACCGGCCGAAGCGAGTTACAAGACGGGGGGAACCTGACTGCGGCGTATACACAGTATGCAACATCATGTGCCTTGCTTTTGGATGGGAATTATCTTATGGTGCAAGACACGGTCAAGAAATGCAGAACGGTCGAATTCGTATCTGCAGTACTCTCCACGTTAGTGGTTTCAGAGGTTACAATCCCGCTAAAGGTGCTGACAACGCATTTTACTACCCTCTGAATAACCTTTCGCCCCCTGATTCTTTAATTGATAGTTTTGTTCGAATCCTCCATTTTCCTGGACTCATGATCAATGAAACTCTCACAGCAGAAGTCCGCCGTCGCTCACCAATGTACTATGGCTGTCCTAACAAAGAAACGCTATATGCCCATTGTGATCGAAACAAACGATTCTACCCGAACTTTGACAAAATAGGAATCAGCGGGCGTCTCATTACGTTTGCCAAATTACTGTCTTGGGTCGAACGTTATGATCTTGCGAGAGAGAGGGATGTGGCGCCGTTCCCAAAGCCTTATCTACATAACGGTTCCAACGGGAGCAAAGATTGGATTCCACCTAGTGCTCACTGGCCGACTCCAAGACTTTGGTAAGTTTCGTGATTTCTTTCGAGGCATGGCAAATCCGCTACTTTTCTAGCTTCCGATTGCCTCAATGTAAGTTTATCTCAATTCAAAAATTCAAACAAACTAATATATATATATATAAAAAAACTAAAATGAGTTTACTAAAATAAAAAACTAATTTACTTCACTTCATCTGAATTCAAGTTCTTATTTTCGTGATTGAAACCCCTTTGTGAACGACTCTTTTCTCTATGCTCGTGATGTAAACATGGATTGACCCTGAGATATCAAATTAACTGCTAGTTAAGTGATTAACATAAGGTGCAGTGCATTATATTTGGATATTGGATTTGGTATATGACACGTGCAGACTCCAAGATTCTAGCTCTAAGGTTCAAAGAGCTTGAACCTCTTTGTCGACATTGTCTTTCTTATCTTTCTTTGTTACCAGATGAATCAAGGGATTGTTGATCATGATGGTGGGATAAAGACTATATTAAGATCTCTTTTATCCTCTAAGTTATTTAGTAGCGATAAAAGAATATACAGCATAGCTGTTATAGGTCTGTTGCAACCCGAAATTTCGATGGAAGTGGATTATTTGAAGGTTAGTGTCCCGTGATAACCAAACCCGGATACATGACCTAGTACATTACCTACATTCGATCTTTTAATTCTTGAAGATTCTCATCATCAAGCATGCTTTTGTTGAATGCAATATATGCACTGTTCCAACTTACTACATAAATCATATGGATAATGATCAAGCCAAGTACAGAGTTATAGCCATCATGAGGCCACGTTTCATATGCATCAATCCCGGTTCTAGTAGTAATGAAAACGAAAATTGCAAAGAAAGTAAATGAATCTCAGGATAGGCCTTATCCTCGATTTAATAAAGATTAAATCAAGGTATCAGACAAATATCGAGTCGTAGATTGTTAGAGATCAAGGGAGGGTGTGTATAGTTCTTTTGCTGCTTCGACTATGCAATATAGGATAATAGTGTACAGACTAAGGTTTAAGTTTTTGCTTCAGATAAATGTAGTAAACTTTTGAATGCTCCGAGATGTATCTTTTAGCCGAATTTCTCATTCGCTAAGTTACCAGCGGGCTTTATTAACCGAGCAAGCGGCATGCTAGACGCAGACTAAATCTTAGAAAACATCTCCATGTTCAAATCACTTTTATAGAGGCCAATTGTGATTATTTGAATGGCTTTTGTTGCCCATCTGAAGACTGAGATTACAGGCTTGATCCGTGTGTTTTTCTAATCGAGTAGTATTTCAATGACATTAAGTTCAACCTAGATTTGGCTTTAGCACTTTCATATCCCGCACCGCGTTTTGAGTCTGGATACCACCATGAATTTGCGCTGCTTTATCAAAGTTATTTTAATTACGTACCAGTCTCGTTCACTGAATCTCAATCCTTGGAAATTCAGTAAAATGCCGACGTCGAGCATAGCCCATTTCTAATATGTTTCAATACTAGTTTTCGATTATTTGGTGTAAAAGTTTAAAGCTGTGGATGTCCAAGCCAGCTCACAAATTCAACCTGGAGAAAGATATGAAGTAAAATTTCCGCGCCTTGCACCCCAAAGATAGGCAAAGAAAAAAAAATTAAAAAAAGAACAGATCTCAGGAACAAACCAGCATTTATCCACGTCATATCTCCTCAGATCACACAGCCAGGTTATTTGTCCGCTTTCACGAACATCAAACACAGAGCCATAAAATCCGCGGCATGATTATTTCCATGGACTGGTTTTCTTCATCATAGACCCATGTGCCCCTAGACGTCTTCTTTTACAATTCCCATTTCGTTCTCTCACATTTTCGATGACGCCTTGAGTAAGCCCAATCCTGCAGTTGTATCCTCTGTTTGATGGTTTGAGACTCACTCACTTGAGAGAGAAGAAAACTTGCGCCTGCATGAAAGTTCTGGGAATTGTGTATTCTCATGTTATGCATAAGTAGAAAAGAATAAAATGTATGGGGGAGAGGGACTGATATACTGTACGATCGATTAGCTTTGAACTAAGAATAAACCAGTTCCTAGCTTGGATTGACTTAACTTAGGTCTAGTCATACGAATGGTCAAGCGAAGCCGAGTTGGCCGAAGCACAATTTCTGATAGTTCGTCATAGTCATTCACATATTCAGATTCAAATTTTAATTAATGCAATTAAATTTTGATTGGCTAAATTCATGCTGAATGTAGACATTGGCATGATGAGGATGATCTAAGGATATCACATCATCAATGTTTAAGCCCTTGTCGAATTGTAACTGACTGCTCATCCGTGAAGAATATCAGATTTCGATGGATCATCATAGCATCATCACTACATATATTCTCTTCACAATCAACAGCGATATAAAGGGACGCAATGAACATTCAATCAGTCAAAGTCAGGAGATATCTCAAAGTAGGAGAAGCTGTTGATAGCCAAGATACGTAAATATTTGTGTCTAACCGACTCAAAATCCTACAAGACAACCAATCTAAGCCACCATTTCAGGCCTAATTCCACTCACTGACTCGATCTTGGAGGAATATTGCTTGAAAAACACCAGTATAGGTCTTATTTTCCCTTCTTTATTCATACAGCTCCTCAACCCTCCTATCTTACATAGTTGAAAGAAAATGCAGATCCAATCCCAAGCAACTTACCGAAAATACAAGAGTTTGCGACATGCAGCAAACATTCCACTACTCTCTAACAAGTCCCTCCCCTATGTTATAAAGAGAACAGAGGATACTCCTGCGATTAACAAGTATCTAACTATACATGCTGGGGTTGATAGTGTGCAACGAAGATCATCTTTACCATCCAGCTAAGCACCAGAAAGAAGCCCAGATTGAGTAGCGTCGATTAACATCTACTAACATCTACCAATGCTGATAATTGAAGGCTGCAGGGGTTTGCGACGTGAAACAACCATCTTCTAGATATTCAAGGCAAACAGGAAGCCCAATTAGGAGCAGAAATCACAACAACTAAAATAAGACTCGAGAACTGTTCAAAGTATACTCGAGTCTTGCCCCACGTTGAGATATGCAACAGCAAGCTGTTATTTGAGTACCAAGAGAAAATGAATTTCTGCTGATAACCACTAAGGGCTATTAATAATAAGCTTAGAGTCTACTTGTTATATGACAGGGGTTCCGAAGGGCAACAAACAGAAGGAGATGAAGGATATAATTTAAAGAAGGGTTGAAAGGCGAGAAACATCTTTTTCCGGGGATGCTCTGAGGTATACGATACATCTACAACCTGTATAAATTCGATGAAGGAACCTATACTAGCGAACCGAGACAGCATATCATCGAATATCGCCTTATATATGAATTTTACGAGAAGCTAAACGAAAATCCCTAGATATACATGGTTTCTCATAATAGATTGCCATGCAGTGTATAGCAACTAGATATTTGTATTGAAGCTACCTAGGTAGTCAAAGAGGGTATCAACTTCTATTTTCCTTTCAAACCAAACTTTTCCACAGTTTTCCCTGGATCTCATCCCATAAAAGTACAAACTGGTAAACGATATGTGTCCAAAACCCAGTATCTCCTTCTTACGCCTTTCCATTCACCCTCGCCCTCTCCCCCAAGCTCCTCGACTTCCACGTCAACCCAATCAACATCTAATCCTGCATCGCACAGATCCAGCTCCGAGACTTTTGTATACACATCATAGCAAACTCTTCTATCTGCTCCTAGTCCATTGAAAAAACTAAATTTTCCAGTTTCAGACAATAAGCCGATGACGTATTCGGAAAAGAATTTCTTGAGCTCCATATAAGATTCTCCAAATGTATCGAAATATATAACGTCGAATTGAAGATTTTCTTCGAGCAGCTTTGGTAGGATTTCTTGCCAGCGACCGGCGTGAATTTTGTAGCTTCCTTCTTCGGGTGCAGATGCTTCCCATTCTTTTCCAAATTTATGACCTGGCTCTTGAAGGTGTGTGAGAACATCGGGGTGGGCTTCTATTATATGGTGGCTGGCTGGTTTTGTGGATGCGAACATCGTGTCTATTATGCCCATTCCGAAACCGATGTTGAGGATTCGTAATGGAGGTGAAGAGGCGGGGATAAGAAGATCGACAGTACGTTTCATGATGGATGTTTCCCATGCCATCATTACGCCATTAGCGTCAGCATCGAGAAGTGCATCTTCTGTAAATTCGAGTTTGCTTTTGAGATAATCTGCGGAATTGACGTCTTTCTTTGGCTCTTCTGCCTCGTTTTCTTCTGTCGCTTTGTCTGCGGTTTCTTCGTCTACAACTATCTCCATCCCCTCTACTTCGTCCTCCTCTTCGTCTTCATCCCCATCACTCAACTCTTCATACCCACCCATCAAATTCATCAGAACCTCCGCCCTCACGCCAGCTTCCACAACCAATTCATATAACTCTTTCCTGCCCAATCTCCACGCCAAACATCCAGGTGTCTCATTGTTCGTGTCTAAATCATTCCAGATAGCCCCCGACAAAAACAATTCTTTGATAGTCGCTTTCGCAGCCTCTATATCTTCATAAGAGGGGGAATCTTCACAAGATGCAATTGCAGCGTGGAGAGGTGTGAAGCCAGTCTCGGGATCTTGAACGGAAGCTGCGCCGGGTACTCGAAGGAGGGGTTTGAGGGCGACGAGATCGTGATTGGAGGCTGCGAGGAGAATAGTTTGGGTAGTTGTATCGGTTTCAGAGGCAAATGCTGGGTCGTCCATTTTGAAGGTTAGTTTAATGTAAACTCTATAAGAATGTTTAAAGTCTTTAGGATTTCAGAATGCTGGGGAAATAATTTTTGGAGGGGTCAATGGATTTGGCGGAGAGAGGGCGGTAGGGACTGGCAGATCGGTGTCGTATGAGTCCGATTAATTTTGTGAACTCAATTCCTGATTAGCAACATCAGCAATCTACAATGTCTCGGCTTATCTTATGTATCTATCCGACAGATTTAGGAACGATACTCCAAGACTTTAAGACATGAATTCGACCTCTCTAGCCCTCTCTTCGA